GGGTAATTAGTTATCAAAATATACAAAATACCCTTATTGCTTTTTAGGTGGATACAAATTACGTTGCATATACTCAACGATCAACTCCAAAAGCATGAAACTAATTGTGATCATTCACTCTATTAATCTCAGTTATTTCAAATAAAACATATAATTTTTAATTAAAAAAAAAAACCATGTAAAAAATAGCTCATAAACACAATTACGCACCTTAATTTCTTTGTTCAGGCAACAAATTAACAAACCCACAAATTCTAATGGTGAAAGAACAAAAAAGTCAAAGATACAACTTATGCATGCAATACAACTAATATGCAAGTAACCCTCCAAATAATGTAAATTAAATTAGACAAAAGAATCTTATAATTTAAACTAATCTAAAAACAATGGACTACATAAAACAAACAAACCACATGCTCCATTAAATTACTTTATTATAAAATACAATCTTTTCTCAATAATCCCATTATTTTCCAATAAAGCTACAATCTTTGAAACCGTTAGAAACAAATAATATGCAAATTAATCAATAATAACTATAACATACATTGTTCACCAGGAAAATGGACAGACTTCAAAGTGCAGTTCTTAATAATTTGAAAGAGGAAAGATAATTATAATTATGACAAAAATAGGAAGATTAGCTGATGATTTATATAGAGAGAGGAGAGAGAAAAAGAGGGAAAAATTGCAAGTGACCCCAAAAAAAAAAATAGGGGCCACTTGAAAGAGTGTTGAGTTACGCCGGAAAATTATGAACAGAGACGGGTTGAAGATAAGTTTATCTTTACTTTTAAGGATGAATCCGACATTATAGTCATCAAACTCAATCATATGTGACATTTTTATCCAAATAATATAATGTTTTGGATAAGGAAATTAATTTGTTTATTAAAATGGTAGAAAAGTGGTAATTATACGGATTTCCTAGATTGATATTATATGAAGTACTCCTTCTGTTTTTAAATATTTGCTCCACTTTTTATTTTTAGCGGTTTTTAAATATTTATTCCATTTTCTTATTTGGAAAACTTTTACAATATTTAATTTAATTCTCTTAACTAGTGGATCCAACATAAATTATATTTTATTGATTTCATATCCTCTCTCCTCCACTTCTCTCAACTAGTTTTGTTTTTTATAATTTTTTATTCTTCCACCTACCCCACTACCTCCATATTTTATTATTTTCTTCAATTTCTCCTAAAACTCCGCACATGAAGAAGTGGATCAAGTATTTAAAAATAGAGGGAGTATGTAGTCTTGTATTTGGTATAGTTAGTAAGAAGTATTACTCATTCTGTTCTATTAAGATACTAAGCAGTCATATCTGTTAAAAATGAGGCTAAAAGGATCGAGAGTACATTTACAACTGAATGGGCTGTTATACTGGCTAAGAGAACCGAGATCCATGATAAGCTCAAGGTCCTAAGGATTTGTATTATTCAACTTAATTTCACTTATTTTAAGTCTAATAAGTTACGAAATAAGATTTAAAAGGTTTAAATAGGATAATGTAAGAGCAATTACGTACTATATGATGGAATAATGGTTGATAACTGATAAGTGTAGACATTATAATATGTTTAGACAATAAATTTAAGGCTAATATTCAGATAAGTGAAATTCAAATGAAGAAAATGCTACTTAAGCTTATTATTTTGATAATTTCCTACCTTTTAAAACTATGAGAGAGGTATTATGAATAGTGTATGGACGTTTACACCCTTAAAAATATTTATTTATATATTTGCCCTCATTTATATGTTTAGAAGCTCTTCTTTGGCCAATTGACTAGATTGGTAAATAAAAAAGACCCCTATCGACAGTTTGGTAAAAAAAACTTACTCCAGCGACAATTTGGTAAAAAAAACTAACCGTATGTGACAATTGGTAAAAATAATCTCCGGTGACATTTAGGCCAAAAAATCTAATTTTTTTCGAAAAACTCTTTAAAATCCTAAATTAGTTTGTTTTTGTGTTTTTAAATTTATTTTTCCCATTTAAAATTTTAAATTAATATGTCACCCCTTTTTATTTTTCTAAATTCCGATACAAAATTTATTTCCAACCCCATTTTAAAAAAAATTCGTTAATAAGGGGTATGAAACTTAAGGGATTTGCTAAACATCGCCCACAAATTACTACATAAAGCCCACAAAAATAATATGATTTGACAGTTTTGCCCCTTTGTCAATTTTCTCTAAAAACGAAAATTTCACTCACCGAAAAATGTGGAGTCGTACGGGGACGCCAGGGGAGGCCGGAGATCCGGGGGACGACGAATGTCATCGGAAAAGATGGCTGGCGTCCGGAGGAGCCGCCACCACCGTGGCACCGGCGCCTGGCTGGGACGCCACCACCATGGCGGTGGCGCCTAGCCAGGAGGCCTGTACCATGGTTGAGGCTTCGAGGCCAGGCGCCATGACCATGGTACTGGCGTCCCGGCTAGGCGCCACCACCATGGTGGCGGCGTCCCGGCCAGGCGCCAGTTCCAGGGTGGTGGTCCGGCCATTTAATATATATATATTTTTACATTTAACTTGCTTAAAATTCAAAATAAAAAAATTTCTTAGTTACCAACAAAAAAAAAACAAAATATTAAAAAAAAAAAGAATTTTTTTTTCTCAATTTCCAACAAAAAAAAACACAATATTACACAAAAAAAAGAAAACAAAAAATTATCAATTTCCAACAAAAAAAAACATGATATTACACAAAAATAGAAAAAAAAAATCTTAATTTCCAAAAAAAAAAATACTATACAAAAAAACAAAAAAAATTAAAAAAAAATAACCAAACAACCACGGCAAGGTGGTGGGGCGCCTGGCCAGGACGGCCGACGGCTGGTGGTGGCGCCAGGTCCGGCAGCCACGTCCACCGGCCTGGCGTCTGGGCAGGACGCCCAGCCACAGTGACTGGCGCCTGTCCCAAACGCCACTCACCGTGGCGGGGCGTCCTGCCCAGACGCTAGGCCGGTGGACGTTGCTGCCGGACCTGGCTCCACCACCACCTTGTCGCCACGAGCCACCACCACCTTGCTGCCACGAGCCTCGACATCCCCGTACTTTGATTTTTATTGAGGTTGTGTTTTTTTTTTTAAGGTCAAGGGCAATATTGTAACTTCAATATAAGTTTGCGGGCTTTATGTGGAGATTTGCGGGCGATGTTTAGCAATCCACAAACTTAAATGAAAATTGATTCTTAACATATTTTTTTTCTTGAAATTGTTATTTCCATAAAAATGATCGGTAAAAAAACCACGAAAAACGAATTAAATTAAGCATTCGCGAGTAATTTGTCGGAAATTTTTGTATTTTTTGGGTTAATTGTCACCTGAGATTATTTTATTTACCAAATTGTCACTTAATGTTAGTTTTTTTTCACCAAATTGTAGCCGGAGTAAGTTTTTTTTACCAAATTGTCGCTAGGGGTTTTTTTTTATTTATTACCAATTTGGTCAATTGACCGCTCTTGTTTTTTTTTTCCTTATTAATACATTTCTTTAATAAGTACTCCTAGGTAATAGTAAATCAATCTTCAAAAAAAAAATAAAAAACAAAAACAAAAAAAAAATAGTATTGTATCAAAAATTTACATTTCTAGAACTTAATAACTTTTGTCACTTCTTGCTAAATCTAATTTAACTCTACTAAAGTTTCGAAAAATATTACACTGTATGTTATACAACATCTATGCAAATAGTTATAATAAAATATCATGTAAATACATTAGGGCCGATTGTAAAAACTCTTTTTAAAGACTATACATAACACACGCTGAAATCTCTAATATCTTTTAAAAGTACTCTGTACTCTTATAATTATTTTTTTAACGGAATGTTAATGAAATTTTGTACTTCAAACTTCATTGATTGCACTTGTTTATCCCACCACTCCTTTTTTGCAATTTTTTGTGATCACGTCTCTCAACCACAAATTGACTTTGAGAAAAACTTCCAAACAAAATACTTGTATAAAAAAGTGAAGTAATTCAATTCAATAATTATACTCCATATTCAATAATACAGAGTAATAATAATGATTTACCCATATTTTTGTCTAGATCAAAATGTTGATAAGGTTGTAAGTTGTAACTACCCCCAGACTCTCAAATAACCACCCCTTTAAAAGGGCTAATTGACCAAATTGGTAAAAAAAAAACAGACCCTTCACGACAATTTGGTAAAAAAAATCACTCCGACAACAATTTGGTAAAAAAAGTTAACATTATACGACAATTTGGTTAAAAAAAAAAACTCAGGCGACATTTAGACCAAAAAACTGTTTTTTTTTTCCGGCAAACTCTTCAAAAGTCCTAATTAAATTGTTTTGTGTTTTTGTAAATTTATTTTTTTCATTTAAAATTTAAATTATTATGTCATCTCCTTTTATTTTGCAAAATTTTGAATTACATAAATTTATCTCCAACAAAAAAATTTGTTAATAATGGGTAGGAAAATTAAGTGAAAATTAGTATTAAACCTTTTTTTCTTTCTTCAAATTTTTATTTCCTTGTAAAAGGTTAGAAATTTAGGTGGTAAAATATGAAATATATTTTTTTTTATTTAAAAAAAAGACACGAAAACAATAGCATTCATAAGTAGTTTGTTGGAAATTTTGTATTTTTAGGCTTAATTGTTGCCTGAGATTATTTTTTTTTTACCAAATTGCCGCTTGAGGTTATGTTTTTTACGAATTTGTCGGCGGAGCAATTTTTTTTACCAATTTGTTGCTAAGGGTCTTTTTTTTTTTTTTTTTTTTTTTCTAATTTGATCAATTGGCCCCTTTAAAAGTAATAAAGTATGCTCCAAAGTCCAGACAACATTTATATATTCATCACAAAAATAAATAACATAAAATTATTCAATAAATGGCAAAAGAATAAAAAAGACAAAAAGTAGCTGGACAATTCCCATTATGGAATTATGAGTACTACGTAATATTTTGTGGACCTGTTTTCCTGAACGTATGTATAGTTTTCCTGAAGATTACTACAAGTAGAAATAAAGACAAGACTTATTGCTTTACTTTCCAGCAAAATCCAACTACAAATAAAATACCATACAAATTGAATGACTACATTAGAAATTCGTGGGTAATTGGTTAATTACATTCTTTTGGTTTTGTTTTGTTACTTTGTAAGGGTAGATTTATCATCTATGCTTGCGTTCACTCAAAAACCTACAAAAGTTCCGAAACCAGATATAGATTTAAACACAGTTAAGCTCTGCTATAGATAACTCGGCTTTTGTACATGATTTAACATCACTATTGGCATATAAAACTTGACTGCAAAATAACAATCGAACAGACTGTATCTGAAGTGCAAAACAATACCGTAGACACAAGAGAGAAGATTTTTTATAGCATTGAAAGAATGTCTGAATTTAATTTACAGTTTAATCATAGCCATCAAAAAAAGCCTTGGGGCTCTGTTGTCTTTTAGAGACCTGTCTTTATAAAACAGAAATGCCGGAGATTGTGAAAGGTCTACAAATCAGCTGCTTGCAGAGCTGAAGCAACGCCTCCCCCTTCCAAAAACAGCCTACTGCAGAGAGAAATAAGTTAACAGCATTTTAACTCCTCCGTACAATAAAACCAATGGGCAAAATGAGAAAAGAAAAGATTTTCTTTTAAGAAAAAAAAGGTAGAGTAACATTTACTCCATGATATAGCAACAGGCTGCAATAAGGCGCAAAATTTCAAAATTGTAGTTTGTTTCTTTGAATTGAACAGACAGCACCTTCCAAAGACAACGTACCTTACAAATGGTCTTGGCACATTACTCCAAACAGGTAGACAACTACTCTCCACAAGCCACAATCAAGGACAACATGTAACCTTCCAAATATATATATCAGACAATAAATTCAAAAGAAAATAAAGCCTAGTCACCTTTCCCTGATCCCAAATACAATTATATGAAAGACAATAAGAATTGATCAACAGTAAAGGCATACCTCAACTACGGAAGAATGTGAGAACGGAATAAAAGAGGATAGGTGCAGCAGAAACCACTGCTCCAGCACTGAAAAGTATAGATGTACTTAAATAAGCTACATTTTGAGATAAGTTGAATAAGAGGGTTGAAGTAAAATATTTTACCACAGATAACAAAGGTCCCTGTTTGAACTTGTCATGGAAAGAAAATGCAATTGCCTTGGGATTGTCCCCAGGTCCTCTGATAAATCCACTGGATGCAACAGAAAAAGATGAAATCACTTTAAGTAGTATGTTTACCAGCATAACATGACCATTAATTCATTTTTGGATATGAAAGAATAAAAGACTAACACACACAGAAAACAGACTGAAAATAAGAGTACAGGATATAAATAATAAATCAAAGTAACTCACACTAGAGATGCCGCGATCAGAGGAGTCCTCCTAACATCATATATGGCAATAAGACCACGGTACAACTCATCTCCTTCTTTGAAAGATATGGCTAGGCGTTCTCCTGAAGCATCCCAAGCTATTTTCTCAATCTGCTGACTGCGATAATGATAAGAAAAAGCCAGAAAGATGATTCAAGAAGCTTCTTGTTCACTGTCAATACACTTACAGAAGCAAGAACTTGAGGTATAATTAGCTTTCTAATTTATGAAAACATTGCCTACAAAATTTCGAATTCTATATAAACTATTCTCAATAGAACAGAAGGTGTAATGTATCAGGAAATTACCATGTCATAGCATTTGAAACCTCTTTCAATCATGTTTACAGAATAACAGGTTCATATTTCCCCCCTATACCCACCCAGTCCAACCACCAGACTGACACTTACAAAGACATGTTTATAGTTTTGTAATTCATACAACAAAATCATTATGTAGCACCGAAGAGAATATCAATTTGAGTAACATTCACTTTTAAATCGTGTAGTCTACAAAGAGATCTTGGATTGCAATTGAAAGCAAGAGAAGATGGCAAACATAGATAGTACCTGTTCGTTCGAGTTGATATCTCTGGGAGATCAACTGGGAGTAGGTGTGCAACTGTAGAAATGATTATAGAACAAGGTTAAAGGTAAAAAACAGGTCACACTGATAGCAATTGTATACATTAGAAGCTTAGGGAGGGCATGGAATAGGCAGCTTTAAGTACCAAGAGACGGAGGTTTTGATGCAAAGTGAACAGATCCCAAAGTAGAAGAATTTGAAAAGGAAAGCAAAATCATACGCCCGTCAGGATCCCATGTTGCCCCCTATGAAAGAAACAAGAACAAGGTAGCATCAATTTCAAGAAAAATCTTCTCTATTTCATAAAAGCTCAAATGAAGCAAGTATGAGACTCAACAATAACCTGCAATTCACAATTATAACAGGGGCTTTAATAGCTGAACATGGGGAATGATACTAAAAGGAGATAACTGTTACTGCATTCAACAAGTAGACGTTGAAGCTGATGTATCTAGAGAAAAATGTTGACAAACACCAGATGTAAAGATGACAAGCATTCTAAATTCCGAGGTACAAATAAGAATAGAAAGATACAATTCCAAAGCACAAATAAGGCGAGCATTTAAATTCACTTCAGCCACTAGACCATTAGCACCACCGACTAGTAGGATTTTACAGCCTAGAATATACTATCTTGGGGCAAGGCCGCAAAGGTGATTTTAGGGACAAGTAATGAATCTAAAATCATTTAGCATTTAACAAAAATGAGGCCACCATTCATCTTTCACAAGCATTATTAGATTACATCTGTTCAAGCTGTTAACAACAAAATCGATTTTTTCAACATTATAACTTGCAAGTTGCACCTCGGTGAATATTTTATTACATTAAATTCAAATCAGCAAGCTAAGGAGTTATAAAATCAAATTAACGCAATCAAAGAAGCTTATAATAGTAGACAAGGTATTTCCTCACCGTAACAAAACCACGACTTGAAGACCATGGTTGTGATGTCCAAGTCCCAGTCTCCCATAGATAAAATGTTCCATCACTGCAAATGAATAATTTTCAATACATAATCTTATGGGACATCACGAATAATGAAGTTAAGATAGTATAAGACCAAGAACATACAACATAGCTGCAAAAAAGTAATCTCCAGTAGGCGACCATCTCAAGATTGATATGCCTCCCCATCCTCGTCGAAAAGGAGTCCCATCACCTAAATTAGCAGAAGGAGCAATGGCCAATACAACATCAAAATGGACTTCGAAAAGAAAACACAATGGTATTATCAAAGGTTTCTAATCTTACTAATGAAAACATAATTAAAAAATCATACTTTATGTTGAGTTGACAATATATAACCTGATTTAATAATAAGAAGAGCATGAGAATACTAAATATTAGCAACTACTTTTATTAAGCCATGAGACTGCTAGTCTGCTAGGAACATAACTGGTAGATACCAAGGAAATAGAAAGTGTATAAAAAAAAAACACATGCCTTGAGTTGTAAAAGATATAGAAACATCATAGTGATCAGCAAATAGATGCTTACAATTCAACTTCATAGTGATCTTAGAAAGCAAGTTGCTTTCATTTCAGCAATCATCTACATGTGGAGCACCAAAAATCCTGAACCCACACCAACTGACTAGAGAAAGCAACAATTTTGGTCAACCCAAAAAGGGATAAAAAGAGGGAATGGCTGGATATTTATTATCTAAAACATATGGAGCAGAATGTATAGGAGATGAACCTAAGATAGTTAAGACTTTAGGCAAATAGGAGAAAAGGCCTTTCAGCCGGCGCCAGTGACCAATGGAAAGAGAAAAGTCCATCAGGTATCAGGGAAATTTTGTAATAAGTTTCATCCACAAGGGCTTCAGTTACTCTAGAGATACAACAACAATGATAACAAAGTGTACCATCAAGGGAAAAGAGAGTTTATAAGCCATTAACTACAGAGTGTTTTGATTTTTGAGATAAAACATATGAATGGATAAAAGCTTAACCATTTAACCTTTTCCATCTAATGATTAGATAAATAAATTAATACATCACCATTTTCAAAACCAAAAAAAGTTAAAAGCTTGAAGAGATATTTCTAATTCTCATTAAATCTCCTATTATGAATATGTTAACCTCTTCTTAATGGAAGTCATACTATTGCATTTCAGCAGGCTGTTGCCTCCATAATTGATAATATAGGTTAGCTTCACCACAGAGTTGATTTAGAGATTAAAGTTTGAGTTACCTACAGAGGAGAAGGCAAAGAACCTTCGTTCGGTCATTGGTTTTAAAAATTAAAAGTTCACTTTCACAACTTCAGATATTAAATAATGGACCCTGAATTCCTGATTATTTTTATTACCACTTCAGCTTTAAATCTATCATTCTGGCTTCAGCCCACAACCCTATAAAAAGTGAGGAACCAACAATTCTTCATTTCCTCCCTATCAAAGTACTTCTAGGAACCACAATAACCTTTTTTCATATCTTCCTCAATCGCATAAAAGCTTTTATCCTCCATCTAAAAAATAATGGACATAAAAGTTCAACCAAGACTTCAAAGTCAGTAGCTTCAAATATGTCTTTATGTGAATCAACCATGGAGTATGACCATATCATTGAGAAGAAAACCTTGAGTAAAACAATTAAATGGCCACATCTAGCTCAATTATACAGTTAGGTAATTCATCATAAGCACTGTTATTATCAACAATACATATAGTAGAACTACATAACAAATTTAAACACAAAGTAAAGCAGCTAATCTTCTGCTTTCCAGGTAATTAATTCTCAAATTGTTTCTAAGATCAACCAAATTTATAGCCACCAAAGCAAAGATTAAAAATAAATTATGCCATAATTATTCCCATACCTTGAGAAACATCCCAAATTGTGAAGGCTGAGCTCTCAAAAGATCCTGTTGCTAAGTATGTGTTGATTAGTCAAGAAAAGCTCATACACCATGCCAAAAGATCAATAAAACATAATTAGTCATTTATAGGACATCAACCAATATATAGGGTACTCCCCAATTAAAAAATTCTGTTAAATCACTAATCATATCAGTCAATCAATACCTGAAGGAAACAGTAACTTTGTACAAAAGACAAGTAAAATACACCTGCTACTCCCAAATGAAGTTTTTTATTTAGATATTTGAAAACCCTAGCCATAACCTACCAATGCAAAGAAACAAGTGCATAGGTATTTTTCCTTATCCTTTCCAAACCCCAAACAACTCGGCCACAGATAACATTATAATTTAGGCTAACTCGAGGATGGAGTAAGAAGCTAAGAACTGCCAGAATTTTGATGTTTAGAAGTGACAATAATGTACATGCAAGGAAAGTTGAGAGAATGAGTTCAAAAATCAATCCAAGTGTAGCAAAGTCGAGTTCATGATGATTCACTAGAGGCTAAGAATCTACAGCTTTCTGGCCTGAAAAAGGGCAAGATTATGCAACTTTTGTCAAACTTGACTTTAACAAAGCATTTTCACCATCAGAGTTCATTTCAATATGCAAAGTACCTAATGGAAGATAACAACCTCAAAAGGAGACCATAACACAGTTTCTAAAAAGATCTTCCCTCAGAAAAAATCTCATTTAAAATATTATATATATATGTATTTGCTCTTTAAGAAATGCATTTCTCATCCAGGTGTATATAGTAAGAGCTACCAACGAGATAGACTCTGCTATTAACAGTGAGCGAAGACAATGAAGTCGGTAAGTATTGCACCGAAGATTTATCCTAGAAAACTAGCATAATGTTGTCTGGCACGGTTCACATTTAGTAGCTCTTCCAAACCATTCAGCCATGTAAAAATACTTTTTTAATGTGATGCATTGGTAAGGCACACGTCAAAAGAATGAAAGTAGAATTTCCATCTTTCAACAAACCAGTTTTTATTATCAGCAATGAATTATTGAATACACACACACACACACCATATTAAGAAGTGTAAAATAGAATCAAACGGCAAAAATAAGGATATCTTCCATCGGGACTCCAAGACAGTGCACTGATGTGCTCATCACTCTTAAGAAAATCCACCAACGTCCATCTTGTGCCAGAGCCCTTGGAAATGGAACCCACAAAAGGGGTAGCCCCAGATCGTACAGATGCTGGATTGCCAGGATATGAAGCAGCCCATATGCAAATTCCACCCCTGTAGAATATCAAAACCAATGGCCGGTCTTAGGAAAATATGTTATGTAAAAACAGCATAAAATACAAGGGTTTATTGTGGTGCTCACTTGCATGCCACAGAAAGTGTCCTCCCACTGTTTGGCCTCCATTCAACAAGTTTGACTTCTCTCTGAAAATCGCCGTGCAAAATGCTTGGATCCTTTCCCTCTGCTCAGATTATTAGTCATTTTATTAAAAACAACAAGTTTCAATTAAAAACATCAAGAGAAACAACACACAATTTGGACATATTTACAGAAAGACTACATTCAATTCAACTATAAAAACTTTATTTTTATACAACCACTCTCCTCTATACCTATTTAAAAGAATTTCAAATTGCTGTATGCATTGCTGTCCACAGTTTGCTTATTAAACGATTAAGTCATGGAAAATAGAGTACTAGCACTTCCATACTCAAGAAAATGTCATGCAAAAATATCAACAAAGAGAGATAATTGGGAATAAAGAGAGCTAAGACATACCAGTATCTTCATAATCACGAATTGTGACCTGATTCAGCCCAGATACAAATGCCAATATATGCTTGTGTTGGTGCCATGATACTCCTTGTAAATTTACTTCTGGCAACAAATGCACCTGCAAAACTAAGAAACTAAGAAGAAGCACTTAAAGTGCAGGCACAAGTATACTACTCATCTTAATTAAAATTTTACTAATTTTCATCAAGTTTCATAGCTGAAATTTGTACAGATCTATGACAGGCTCAATTTATATTGAATAACTCTTTGTTCCCCACATCAGAACAGAAGCAAGGAGTACAATTATACTCCAATACGTTCTGTAAGTGTCAAACCCTTGTTGAGAGTGATGGCAATGTATAAGAGTATGTGCTATTATAATCACAATTCACAGAAGATCTGTCTGTTATCCAGAATCCCCGTTAAAATGCAGCTTTGGAGGTTTGAAATTTAAAAGATAAGCAAAAGGTAGAAACCAATACAGTCTTCATCATTGCTTTGCAAAAAATACACAATAATAACACCTCAACTCTCCACTAATACTTGATATTCCAAAAGGAGTGATGTTAATTGATCAATGCAATCAAAGGAGCGAAAGCACGAAGGTAGCATTCAATAATATCACGGCATCATATTTCACATATTACATAGAGTGCATTAGTGTTAGAATCCAACTCCTTTCTTATGTATTCTTCTTCCTTTATACTTGTATTTTCCTTATGTATTGTCTTTAAAGTCTTTCTTTTATGCTTTCTAGGCTCTAGGTAGAATTATTGTGTTACTCTAGTTTCAGTGTTCACTAGTAATTCTCTATGTAATCAATATAAAGATCTTTAGGGAGCGAATGGTTGAATGAATCAAAGCTCCCTACCCGGTTGCATATTGCTTTAAGACTTGTGTGTTGATTTAAGCCTTTATAGATATTGTGCTTGTCTTGTTTTAAAGCATCCCCTCCAAACCAAGAGAACCTCAAAAGACACCCTCGTTGTCGTCGGTCCCGCTTGTGCCCGCTTTGAAATATCGGCCGTCACAAGCCCCAACTCCGCACTCATTGTAGACGTGTGCGTCCTTGAGATACACTTGGTCCGTGTTGCTGTGTGCTCACGTATCTTTTCCGCTCTAGGCTTGCGTCCTTGTCGCCAAAAGACAAGAACGCGCCGCACGACCCGGTGTCAAAACACTCGGACCGTGACAATTAGCCATTAATAGCCTACATTCCTTATATCAATTAAGGGTACACAAACATGTGAGGCACTTATTTGGCATAACAAGTACAATAGCCAATATTTCTTACTAGAATGTTGATATTTCTGTATAGCCACTAATCTAATCCATCAAATTGAATTAATACAAGCCATTGAAACCACCAGATGTTTCAAAGCTCTCAAAGAAGGCTAGTGTTTGTTCCAATTATATCCCACATAATCCTTTTAGACCATTAAATTCTCATTGAACTTACTGACTAGCAACTTTTCAAACCCCTAAGAGATACCCAATAAACAAACATCTATTCATTCCATTTAAGATACATTACGAATGGTTTACAAGAAAATTTTAAAACGGATTCTTTTAATACTGACTAATTTGCATAATACTCCATACAATCAAAGTCCTGCCAGTTCACAAAACGAGCATCAAAATCAACTGGCACCACCGTCAACCAGTTCAAATATAAAGGTTTGCAGACTCAACAATTACAACTAATCCCAAAAATCCAAATCAACACAATAAACCTATGTCAATCTCATTCTTCTCCCTAATACACTAATATGAACATAGAATGTAAAATTTATTGACAACCAGCAAACCGACGTCCCTTGTGAAAATACTCCTTATAAGGCTTGCACCCACATCAATCAATTCAAATGTAAAGGCTTGCAAGCTTGTTATGAGGCAAACACACTTAATTCCAAACTTCTAATATATCACAATAAACCAATGCCATTCTCAATCTTCTCATTAATACACTAAAATGAACATTCAATGTAAATTTATTGGCAATCAGCAATCCAATTAACTCCATTAAACGCTTCAAACTTACATCATTAGGGTGAAAAATCCGCTTTACAGCACCAATCAAAGCTGGCAAACCCTTCTCCGGAATCCCCCCTTGTTGATCACCAGCATCATCACGAGTTGGCGAAATTAGATTTTCCGGTTGAAATTGCACAGGACTAAATACAACACCCTACAATCCAAATTCAAATAAATCAAATTGTTAATCAAATCAATAGAAAAGAAACCCTATAATAACAATCAACTAGAAACTTATAAAAAAAGTAAGGAATTCAGTAAAAATTCAACAAACAATTAACATACAAGAGCTTTTCCATAGCATTCCTTAGCTCGATCATCGGATAAATTATCAGCAGTAACTGGAAAATCAAAATAGTTTAGTTGAGAATAAATTCAGCGGAAATTGAAAATGGTGAAGGAAATTGAGGAGAGAGAAAGAGAGAAATACAGAGGTCTCGGTTGATTTCGCAGACGGTGACGGTGCCCGGTTGCGGAAACGACAGCATCTTCGGAATTTTCCGACGACCGTGTGGTTTGCTGCAACTCAAGTTAAAAGACACTTCACAGAGGAGTTGTGTGGCCTAGTGTAGGGTTTTAGGACACTAATGAATGGGTTGCACCCTTTCCCGCCAGGGTTCTCGGCTTCTCACCTTTTTTATTATTTTTTAATTAATATCGTTCCGAGGGCGTTCAAGGAAAAATCGAAGAGAAATGAGCAAATGCATACCGATTTGGTAAAGTATTAGATATGGTTTTATCAACGACATGCTCTAAATGTATATCATCCCGGGCTCTCCTTAGTTGATTTTTATGATCAATATATTATATGTCTATCTATTCATCTAATGATAAAGTTGTAATTAAAAGCAACTCTAATTGAATGTTAGTTCATAATGTTGTACTCAGTTGCTGACAATGAAGAGGAGCAAATGCAATGTTGACCATGCTTTGTTAGCTTATAACTTTGCTTGTTAGATGACGTTTATATAGGTGAAACACTGAACTACATGTTGTTTTAAGATCGTTTGAATTTATTACCAGGTAGTTGGTTATATTTTTACAGAGTTTAAATTAGTGTTTTATCGACAAAACATATTATTGTTATTCGTACTACGAACTCCATAGCTTTATGGATCTCAATGATGGTTGATCAGTGGTAGATGTTCGTGGTTGGAATTGCGAAAATATACTTACAATTGAGAGTATTTCCATAAAGTGAAGATGTACTTACCAATTGAGAGTATGAAGGTATCCAATTTCAACTACCAGTATCTTGATGTCCACATATGCAATAGCTTGGCCTCCAATTAATTGTACGGATTGGTTTCTCTATTGTTATTCTTCTATGCAATGCGTTTGAATGAGAAAAATCCCTAATTCAATAGTTGTATTAATTCTTTATGCGATGCGTTTGAATGAGAAAAATGCAAGTCGTTATTGATCTAGCCTAAATTGCACAATTGAATAAAGGTGTATTTGTCAAAACTAAATATTGTTGTAGCCGGTAACTATGCCAATAGTGTTAGCTATGAAGTTTGATATTATATGTCCTATGTATACAATTCGTTTTTTTCCCCAAAATATACACTTGCATAAATTGGTCGACATTTTTTTTTACAATCCAATTACGTTACTCCTTCCATTTCAAAATAAACATCTAACTTGACTATTGCATTATTCACATACATCACTTTGACCAATATGTGATGAAACATAGTCATATGAGTACTTGTTACAATTATCTCAATGAATATTTTCTAACTTTTTATAATTTATATAGGCAAGATTATAGGTCAAAAATTATGCATTGACATATTTGCCAATAAGTATGGCACTGACTTTGAAAGAAAGGGAGTATTTGTTTCATATAGTGGTCGAACACTAAAAGCTACACTAAAAGCACTGACTTTTTATAATTTGCCATTTTGTCGATACACACGAGCTCCTAGCCCATATTGCAATAAGCCCAACAAATTGCCCAGAAAATTAGGAGTGACACACTAGCCTAGTACGGACCACTGAGTAATGAGTATAAATACCAAATCCATCCCCAAATCATTCATCTTTTTGCCGATGTTCAAAACCCTAGAAACCCCATCTTCACTGCTCTGTAAGAGAGAGAGTGGCAGCCATGGGAGAGGAGCTTGAGGAGAGAGAAAGAGGTCCGATTTTCAGAGATATTCGTCGATATTACTGCCAATTTTGCGGTATTTGCAGATCTAAAAAGTCGCTCCTCAATTCTCACATTCTCTCTCATCACCAGGTAATTTCTACACCTAAACGAATTCAATTTTTCCGTCGTTAATTTTTTCGATTGTTACTGATTTTCGACGCCTGTTCTGTGTAATTATAGGAGGAATTGGAGAAAAAGAGAGAAGTTGAAGGAGAAGATGAAAACGAGGGGCAAAATTGTAATAACACATGTGAAGAATGTGGTGCTAGTTTTAAGAAACCTGCTCACTTGAAGCAACACATGCTTAGCCATTCACTTGAGGTACAAGTTTTTGTGGATTTTATTTGATTTAATTGATTGGAATTTTTTGTTGTTTATGTTAGATTTGAATTGTTTTTTGTGAAATTATCAGTAGATTTTAAACGTGAATTAGTGTTGATTGCCGATTTCAATAGAAATATGTTGGTTTTATATTGGATTTCGACTAGTGTAACAGAATTTTTGATATGAGTAGGGTTGTTTATTGGATTTGTAATTGAATTCGTAATGCTTTGAGCTAGTGTTGTATCAATTGTAAAGGTTATCGCGCTCGATTTGATAATTTATCGAGATAATAACGAGCAAGGTTATGTTTATGGATGATTTGTATGGAATTCATAGCTGATTGATGTTAATATTGCAGATAATGAATTTATGTGGAAGTGTGTGAAGCATTGGATCCCAAAGAATGAACTCCAAAATGCAAAGAGGCTTTGTAATCTTATACTTCTTGACTGGACTAGTATCAGGACGGGGACCGCCTGAGAAGCTCCGTCAAGTCAAGCCTCTTGACACGCACTATTATAAGGTTTGACGATTGGGCCGATTTTTAGTATGAATTAGAATATGCCGGTTGTGAATTGGCTTTTTCCTGAACGAGGTGCTTGTTATATTTGCAGAGGAGCTTTGTTTGTCCGATAAATGACTGCAATGCTAGTTATAGAAGGAAAGATCACTTGAATCGTCACATTCTTCAGCATCAAGGGAAGCTATTTAGATGCCCTGTAGAAAACTGTAGTAAGGAGTTTTCTGTTCAAGGGAATGTTAGTAGGCATTTGAAGGAATTTCATGAAGATAAGCCTGAACCTGATTCCGGGAAGGGACAAATAAAACATGTTTGTGAGGAAAATGGATGTGGGAAGGAGTTCAAATATGCTTCTCAGTTGCGGAAACATGCTGAATCCCATGGCAAGTTTCTGCTTTGCCTCTATTATTTTGAAATGTTTGTTATATTAGTTGCAAAACTGACTGAGGATATTATTTTTTTTAGTCTTGGAATCTTCAGAAACATTTTGTGCTGATCCGAGCTGTATGAAACCCTTTGCCAACATTGATTGCCTCAAAGCTCATATCAGATCTTGTCACCAATATGTAAACTGTGAGGTTTGTGGTTCCAAGCACCTAAGGAAGAATTACAAACGTCACCTGTCAACTCATGGAGAGCATTTGCCCACCATACTCAAATGCACCTTCGAGGGATGTGACCACTCATTTACCACGGTATGATTTAGTAACTTTTCACTCTTTCGTATATTGTTTTTTGAATAGTGTAGGTATTAGGGAATGTAATTATTAAAAATGGTTTTTGACTTCAACAGAAATCAAATATGCAGCAGCATGTAAAGGCAGTACATTTGAAACTCAGACCCTTCGTTTGTAGCTTCACTGGTTGCGGCATGAGATTTGCCTTCAAGCACGTGAGAGATAACCATGAGAAAAGTGCTCGCCATGTATATGTGCATGTATACATCTCTTTTGGGTTTCTTGACACAATATTTTCACCTTATTCTGACACTGCCATTTACACTTAAGTTAACCGCTTAACTGTTGTTTTTTCTAGGGAGATCTTGAGGAGTTCGATGAGCAATTCAGATCCAGGCCTCGCGGTGGACGGAAAAGAAAGCTTCCTAATGTTGAGATGCTCTTGCGTAAAAGAATTAGTGCACCTAATCAATGTGATGGTGTTCTAGATGATAGCTCGGAATTCCTGTCGTGGTTGCTTTCAGATGATGATAGTTCAGAGAGTTAATTGATTATATTACAGGGCAGAATCATTAGCTTAAGTTTTTTGTAAATTATGGGAGACTAGACTAGATGTGGATTAAAAGGAGACTATATATAATAGTTAGGGAGATTCAGAAAGTTGTATATTGGGTTGCTTATCTAGTTTTTGAATGTTCAATACTTGGTTTAACTCGCTAATTATACTACAGAGTAATTTGTATTTAGTAAATACTTCGCACTAGCTACTTGATTGCATTATCACTCTTGGTGAATGTTTCGCAAACTTCGTCAATCCACCAATGTTGGTGAATGTATTGCATCTTACTTCATAATTGTGCATAAAAATTAAGAAGTTTCTAATCCTTGCTCTCCTATATCTCTCACTTGCTCAACAATATTTTTTTCTCAAAGTGTCAAAAAACGCGTCTGAGAAAATATATACTCTCTACCTTAAGAAAATTACTTTTTTGTTTGTTTTTTGGAATTAAGATTGATTTATAAATAAAAAGTAAGATCGTGGTTGCAAATCGTACATTTTTCATACCATCTTTTATATCGCTATGATTTACAACTTTTTTCAACGAGAGAGTCTATCGATTTGTTGTAGTCGTGAAGAAAATTTTAGTTTGATTCTTCTTATCGTAATCGAATGATTAACCTCTTTTCGATCCCGTACAAATCTTTACCCATGAAACAACTAGTATCATAGTAAACTCAAAAAACAAAAAAAAAAACTAGAACAAAGCCCACCATAGGGACACTTACTACACTCAAACCCACTAACGGGGTACTTATTACCTTCAAAGAGTGTAGATTTATTGAATTTAATAACATAAACATAAAAGAAATTAAAGGAAAAGGGTCGGAAATATCCAAATTTCCGTAGAAATTTGATTATTTCTGGACTATGAAACACTTTTTTAAAGAATTTTAGAGAGAAAAAATAAAGAGGATACAACTAGGGTTTAATTACTTTCTAAAATAGAATGAAAAGGTAGTACTTTGATTTTGGCGAAAATTGAGACAGAAATTAGATGTTTTTAGCTTGAGAGTAGCGGGAACCCCCCTACTCCCAAGCATTTTGTAATAAGTGGGACTCGAACTAGTGACCTAAAAATTACAAGGTTAGTTCCCACCAACTCCACCAAGCTTTGCTTGGTTTTGAAGAATCTATCATTAAATCACAAAAGATCATTACTAGAATTGATGGTTGATATATACTTCATCCATAATTTTTACTTGTAACACAAGACTTGTTTATTATTCACATATGCTACCCTTAACGGTTTTTAATTATGGAGGACTATACTCTGATTAAATCTTGTTGGATTTTCCTCAATTTATATTTTCATAATAGCGAATAATTATAATTTTTTAATTATTGATAAAATATACGAAATAAAAAGTTGTGATATTGAAATCAATGTATATGACGAAGCATTATACGAAATATTATATGCAAATAATTCATATATTTGCAACTCCTCCGTATTATAGAGCACTCCCTCCATCCTCCTCTATTTGTCCCATTCAGATCATCAGATGAAGTTAGAGATGGCAACGGACCGGATCTGGACTGGATCCTATTTGATCCGGATCCAAATCTGTTTTAAAGACATGGATCCAGATCTAGATCCATCGGATCCACGGATCCGAATCTGGATCCGTATGTTTTTTTTTTTGTTTTAAAAATTTAATACTTTTTAAAGCTTTATTTGTACAAAAGGAGCTAAAATATATATTTATAAGTTCAATTCATATATATCTACATGATTCAACCATTATTTTTTTATTTTGACGGAAATTAAATCATTGTGTTGAAAATTGATTAAAGTTTGGTTCATAAAATAATAACAAACAAAGTATGTAATAATAGAGAAAATTATAGGTTTATATTTATATAAGACTAGTCAACTTAATTAGTATATAAATCTTAAATAATACCATAATAAATATATAAAAAATTTAAAAATGGATTCACGGGTCGGATCCGGGTCTCAAAAATAGGATCCAGATCCAGATTTGGTCCATCAAAACGAATCCCAATTCGGATCCTGATCCACTGGGTCCAAAAATTGGAGATCCAGATCCTGTAAAATAGATCTGGATCTAGGATCCATTGCCATCTCTAGATGAAGTCAAATTTAAATTTTTGTTTGAGGGGATTTAACAAAATAAAAATTGTGAGACGTATTTATAAACTTGTACTTCTTTTATTTCTTCAATACTGTAACATGCAGGAAATCCCAAAATTATGCTCTCCAAAGTAAAATTTAAATATTTAAATATTTTATTTATTATATAATATTAAATGTTATATAACAATTGGGTATTTTTTTTTTGTAAGATATAAAAAATTCAATTGTTACCCATAATATGAAATAAAGGTATTTCACAATTTTAAATAATGTAATTAAAGAGAAGTGTATGAATATTAAATAGTATCAAATGATTATTTGTACTGAAATTGAATTATAGATTTTATTAAGGAACCAAATGAAAAGATAATAAGCCATGTCTTTTTCATTGCTTCTTATCTTAGTTGCTCTTAAATCATAATTTTCAAAATATCATTATCCTATTTTATTTAATATAATAATAAAACAATCATGATGCAGGAGTTTTTTTTTAATTATGGAAAGTTGGATTATTAATTCTACTCCCTCCGTTTCATAATGTTGGTCCATATACTATTCTGGGCGTTTCAAAAAAATCCACTCATATTGAATATGTTCCAATTATAACTTAATTTTTTTTGGAATTAATTGGTTGTGGATTGATGACATGGCTCTAAGTTCCAAATATTCTTCTTTTCTTATTTTATGTGATTGATTTCATTTGTGACCAACATTATAAAACAGAGAGAGTGCTTCGTATAGAAGTAGCTAGGAGTTATCTTACTCATTTAGCTTTATAAAATCAAATGTAATTCTAATTTCCTCATATTCTTCATTAGCTCTAAGCTCTCCTTTTCTTTCTCTAAAGTATTGCAAGCATTTTTCTTCTTTATTTTCTAACGCATAATCTTCATTGTCAAATTCATATAATGACTTGTGAAGGTGAGAGAATGAGGTGGTTAAATACAAAGAAAAACCACTTTAAAGTAGGACAAGTCATTTTCGAAGTCATGAAAATTATGTACCAATACAACCTCTTAGAAAGGGGAGTTACGGTTTGGTATGTTCAACAATTGACACGGATACTGTTGAAAAAGTTGCAATTAAGAAAACAAATGATGTATTCTTCGATCACATTGTGGCTCTTAGGACTTTAAGGGAGCTCATCATTTTGCGCAATGTTCGTCATGACTATGTGATTGAATTGCGTGGTGTTATCATCACTTCTCCTAAGAACAGTTTTAAGAATATTTACTTAGTTTACAAAACCATGGATACCGATCTAGATCAAATAATCAAGTCTCCTAAACCGCTTTCTCATGAGCACGTCAAGTTTTTTATGTTTCAGGTAAGACTATTATTAATGAGTAATTATATAAAATTTAATTAATTTTAACGTATAAAAATGCATAAAATAATGTTATTTACTAGTCGTATATACTAAATTTATGTCATTATGTTTGAATATTTAATTAATTTTAACATATAAAATTATTCATATAAATAATGTTATTTACGTATATACTAATTCTTAATTTGTATTTTTCTGTATATAGTTGCATGTTGGAAGAGTTGAATAATCTCCATTCAGTGAACATAGTTCATCGTAATTTAAGACCGGCAAATCTTTTAACAAATGCAAATTCCGATCTGAAAATATGTGATTTTGGCCTATCAAGATCCTGCAAAGGTGAAGATGAATCGTTCTTGACAGAGAATGTAGTAATGCGCTGGTATAGAGCACCCTTGTTTCTTGTCTGCAACGACTGCTATGATGCAACAATCGACATTTGGTTTGTAAGATGCATCCTGATAGGCTCTTCAAGGAGAAAATTGGTGGAAGGATGAGAGAGAAAGAGGGGTCGCTGTGGGAGAAGGAAAAACGGCCGAGGTTTTTTTTTTTTTTTTTTTTTTTTTTTTTTTCTTAAGTTTACAAGATGAAATTATGAAATAATATCTCTTGCTAATAATATTTATAGTGATTAGGATCATAGGTTAAAAACTTTATTGTAGCTTGGAATACAAGGCCTATACTTTCCTAAACCTACTAGAAATCTTATATACATCATACTTTAAGGGAGCTCATCATTTTGCGCAATGTTTGTCATGACTATGTGATTGGATTGCGGGATGCTTGGTTTACGAAATCATAGATACCGATCTGGATCACATAATCAAGTGTCCTAAACCGCTTTCTCATGATCACGTCAAGTATTTTATGTTTCAGGTAAGACTATTTTTAACGAGTAATTAAATAAGATTTAATTAATGCATAAAACTAATGTTATTTTCTAGTCGTATATGCTAAATTTATGTAATATTTCAATATTTAATTAATTATAACGTATAAAATTATTCATAGAAATAATGTTATTTACGTATATACTATATCTTAGTATAGTTCATCGTGATTTCAAACCAGCAAATCTTTTAATAAATGCGAATTCCGACCTGAAAATATGTAATTTTGGCCTATCAAGAACTTTCAAAGGTGAAGGTAAGGTTAGAAATCTTCTTTTTACATACTCCATCATCAGACATGGCCATCTATTTATAGGTCTAGCTTAGAACTCTTTAGATTTAGCTAGTTGTAATTCTAAATTATTCTACCTAATTCTCTAATTTTCTACATACTAAAATTTACATTACATGCTAAATATTTTCACAAGACATTTCTACCAATTTTTACATTGTTCTAGATTTTTCCAATATCTCATGTTATATTTTCATACAACAACAGGTGAATCGTTCTTGACGGATTATGTAGTAATGCGCTGGTATAAAGAACCCGAGTTACAAATTAAATTTATCATCAACTTTCTTGGAAGCCCTAGTGAATCTGATCTCGCCTTCATAAAAAATCAAAATGTTGTTAAGTTCATCGAAGGAATGCCTTATTCAAATGGGGTTCGATTGGAGGACGAATATCTTTGGGCTGATCCTTTGGCCTTAGACTTGTTGCGAAGGATGCTTGTTTTGAACCCAACAAAGAGGATTACAGTCACAGAAGCGCTTCGACACTCTTACATGGCAGACTTGCATATTCCAACTGAATATCCCCCTCCTCAAAGGTCTCTTGATATCGATATTGAGGCAGACGTAGGGGAGTCATATCTAAGAGAGTTGATTTGGAGAGAAATGGTGTTTTAACATAATGTTTGATACTTTGATCTCTAGAAAATTCGAGTTGTACTAAAAACAATTGATGGTTTCTTCAAAAATAAAAAATAAAAAATAAAAAAATAAAAAAATAAAAAAAATAGATGGTCAAATAGCTTAGGTCTATTTTGATTATTGTTTGTAAATTCAAAAGTGTTGGATATAAAAAAAAATTAATCACAACTCATCCCAAATTCATCCTTAAATTTATCTGAATTTATCGTATTCATCTTTCAATTAAATTGCATATATACGTAGTATACTTGATGGCATAAATCACTAATCGTAGCTTGAAAATAATGAGTGTAGTGTAAGAAGATGAACAAAAACATGGTGTTGTCTAGTTTTGCTAAGCATATTTCAGATTGTGCTAATTCACAATAAAGAAACATCCTAGATGTCCAAAAAAAAAAAAAAAAAGTGAAGGAACATCCAATACTTGTTGATACTAGGAAGAATGTATTCGCAAAAAGCATGATTCTTGTACGGAAGGAAGATGGTATAGAAAGATGAACATTATGCCTCAAGAAGTCGAGATCCATGTTAGAATAATGGCAGCGGTACTTTCCCCTTTGACATTTTGGACAAAAGCAAATGACTAATCAACCAAATATGACTTCAATATAACTCGATCCAAATTACTCATTTACCAGGCCACATAGGGTAGGTTGGGGGGAGGGGTAGTTGAAATTTGGACAAGTGATGTTCTCATTGAAATGTGAAATCTTAAAAGAAAGAGAGCAAATTATGGCTTGTAATACTGATCTTTCCAAAAAACTTACCATTTATATCAAAATTTTTCAAGGGAAAGGATTCCCCTCCTGTAAGAATTGCTCTTCAGAGTTCATATTTGAACTTATGGCTGTGTAACATATCTCAAATAACAGATGCCATTAACAGGCATTTACAGAAAAGAATTGTAGAAAAACAAGAATATACAGTTTTATAGGCTAGCACAACTATCTACATGTCACTACGAGTTCATCCGTTAACTGCTTTGGACATATTTGAGAGATTAAAAAGTCATTTTTCACGAAATTCTTTCCTGAACTTGCCAAGATTTCGAGTAAACCTGTCCCTGTTAGCCGATTCTAAATCAAGAGTAACACCTTCCATAAGAATATCAAAGCAGTGAAAAAGGCGTTGCTGTTGATCCACAGGCTGTTTACAGAAGGACATCAAGAATAAGTGATCTTCTATGCCACAGAAAGAAGGGTCACCAGAAGAGGGGGGGGGGGAGATTCAATCCTAAGAAAGCAAGCTTACCTGTGATGCCACTATTTCAGTTTTGAATTTTGTGTACATCTGCAAAGAAAAACAACACATATAAGCATTGACAATAGACAGATTTGACACAGGCAATATATCTAATACGAGTAGAAAAGAAATGAGATGAAATCGTTACTTCTTCACTTATGAGAATCAAACTCAGAATTGCTCTGCTAAGACCCCATTGGGAGCTATTGTCTTCGTATAAAACTATCTCAAACATAGTCTTCAATATCTGATCAATGAAAACACGTTACTTGTGAAATTTCACAAATTTTCTTAAGCAGTTCGTTACATGTTGATAAGAAAAACAAAGGGCACCAGAATTTGGCTCAAGAAAGATTATATAAGGCAAATGAGATGTAGAACTAATAACATCTAGAAAGATATAGCACAGCCATAAAATGGAATACTTAATAAGGAATACGTAAACAAAAAATTGAACTTACATCTAGAAAGATATCAGCACAATCTGAAATATGCTTAGCAAAACTAAGTAGAGCTGGTGAAGCAGGCGATTCTCCCATCATAATATGATCAAAATAGAAGGTTGCCAAATTATCAATTGCAGAAGCACACTGCAATTCAAATGTTAATTACAACTGAATCAGCCATTTGTCAACAAATTGCAAGCTCATTTAAGTATCTTAATTCCGTGCCAATGTGCCACGCTAGATTAACAAAAAACACTAGGTGAAAAAAGGAATTTGGGAACATGACAACCAAGTGAACCAACACAAACCTGCGAAACAATGTTTGATTCTATATTTTTTATGCCAGAATGGAGGGATGTGACAATGCACTTGAAAGTAGTTCCATCCAGGTTACAAGAAAATTTTATAAGCTTGCTGAAAAAAATATCTATAAAACTGAAGTAAGCCCTGGAGACCTGTGAATAACATTAATATAGAAATTAAAAAAAGAAAATTATCAGAAGCAAAATAAAACATCAAATTAAATGGAGGGCAGAGACGCCATGGAGAAGTGCTAGTACCATCACAATTTAGTGCAGAGACGCCATGTCATAAACTATTGTTTTCAATGACAATAGCACACAGTGATACGCAACAACTCACAGATATCACACAGTTACGCAACACACATATGATATAGCAGGGAAAGATAATTTAGTGCTGCATGGTTCATCAAACAGAAGAACCTAAACAATCAATCAACATTACAAATAAAATTATACATTATTCAGCATCACACATGATGACCACTGTCACTGTGCAAATAGTTTCAAAATGGAGAAGCATGGTGACCAATAGCATGACTGTTAAGTAAAACAAGGACAACAAATTAAAAACATATTGATAAGCATGAATGTTAAGTAAAACAAGGACAACAAACTAAAAACATATTGATAAGCATGGTCACCAGAAAGATTCACCAGATACCTAATACAGTACTAAATTTCCTTAGCCTATTCAAAATTATACAGAGGGAAGGAGGGGACAAAACAAACTGAGAGACTGTGGCTTTGGTACAGAACAGCAAAACATCTACACAAACCTTTCTATATGCTAATAGATCAACAGCAGGGATTGAGAGAATCATCTTGAAAGCGATATCAAGAGCATCATCAAGGGCTTTGTCACCATATAACTCAAACACACCAAAATTGACATAGTTGCCGCCAATTGCTGTCATTAAAAGAATATCATCGCAAAAAATGTTAAGACAAGCTAAGAATAATTGCAAGCTAGGATTGGAAAGGCAAATGGAGAGCTTGTCAAAATGAAAAAAAAGATGCACATTCTCCGCATACATGTAAAAAATTGTGTCAAACAAAAGCACACTTTTTCATAAGCAGAAATCACATTTCCATTAAAGTTAGATAGAAAACATTCCAAAATTATACACAGTTTAGAACCATAGCTAGCTGATCTAAGATTGCTCTAGTTGCTAAATGACAACAAATTCAGAGTGCATTTGCTAATACAACCACTCAAACAGCAATGCAGTATCCAAGATTCAAATTGAATCTTTGGAAGACACGGAAAGAAGAATTTTGACAGGGAAAATACTAAACTACCCAAGCATTATTGAGCCAGACAAAGCAACAACCAATGAGACCAAAGGAAGTACCATATTCAGGGTTCAGGCATGGGAAGAAGATGACAAAACAGAATTTGCACAGAAATCAGGCTTAGATGTCTAGGAAAAATCCCGTAACCATTTTAACAGAAATAGCTGGCACCATATTACGACGATGCAATTTCTGTTATACTTTACAATTTTAGGAAAGGAATAATACTCCCTCCGTCCCAAGAAATAGTTTTCGTTTTCCTTTTCAAGCGTCCCAAAATGTTCTTCCCATTTCTGTTCTTTCCTTTTTAAGATTTTAATTAAAATGACATTAAATTCCCATACAAACTACCCTTACTTTTTCCCTAATTTTTTTGCCCCTATTAAATGCTTTTTGGATTTTTCTACTACATTCATCATTGCTATTGTACTTTTATTGAAGTTTTTGTCTTTAATGTACTTTTTACTGATTTTTATGAACTTTTACACGCTTCTCCTACTTTTCCTTAATTCCCGTGAAGTATGGGAAACGGGAACTATATTATGGGACAGAGGGAGTAGTATTTTTCAGGATTGGGTGTCTTCTCAAGAATGATTGATTTCTTATGGGGTCAAGTGATGTATTTACTTTTCTTTGGGGACCCGCATGAAGCCTTGCCTAAGCATGTCTCTTTCTGAAGTAATGTAATTCTAGATTGCAGGGTTTTTTTAGCTTTTCTTGATTTGAGTAGAATTTTGATCACCTTTTGTCTCCTCATTTTATACGTTACTGGAAACTATCTTTAAAAAAAAACAAAAAACAGATACACCACTGTCACAGTATGTAATACTTCCTCTGTGTGTGTGCGCGCGCGGGTGTGTGTGGGGTAAACTGGTAATTGTAACCTTTCTATTTTTACACATTCTGATATATAAAAGTAAAAGGAAAAATTGCGAGGAAGGTCCTTTTAAGGAGTCGACCTTGTGAGGAAGGTCTTTTTATGAAAAAGGTGGCACAAAAGGTCCTTTTATGGACTTTGGGTGGTGAGGAGGGTCTTATGACCAAACTCCGGCGTTGACTTCCAAATTCCGGCCAAAAAAAGTCATGTGCTACTTTAGATATTTTTTTTTTCTTTTTTTCCCTTTCCCAGTTCTTCTGCCGGAACAGCCAGACTCAGCCGGTGGTGCAACCCATCCCCCCCTCCCTTGAAACTCGCAACCCATCCCACCCCCTCGCCTGAAACCCGCAACCCATCCCCCACCCTTGCCTGAATCCCGTAACCCATCCCACCCCCTTGCCTGAAACCCGTAACCCATCTCCAACCCCCTTGGCTGAAACGCGCAACCCATCCCCCAGCCTTGCCTGAATCCCGTAATCCATATCCAACCCCCTTGGCTGAAACCCGCAACCCATCCCCCACCGTCGCCTGAATTCCGTAACCCATCCCACACCCTCGCCTGAAACGGAAACCCTTATCCACCCTCCACCAGCTGTGAAATCCCCATCCTCACCCCTACCACCTCTAAACTTCACGTGAAACACTGAGGCCGTGACCTCCATGTTTTCAATTGAGGAAAGAGAAGAGAAAATAGTGGTGTAGGTGGGTAATTGGGGCTGTTGACAGCCGCGGAGGAGAGAGAGAAAAGAGGAGGAAGAAGGGTGGTGGTCTGGGAAGTAGAGTGGTGGTTTGAAAGGGGACGGTGGTGGTCGTCTGGGAATAAGGGATGGTGGTAGCGGTGGTGGGTAAGTGGTTTTGCTTTTATTGGTTTTCAATTGAGGAAAAAAAAAACTGATTTAAATAGTCACGTGCTGTGCACGTGACTTTTTTTGGCCGGAGTTTGGTCAACGGACCCTCCTCACCACCCAAAGTCCATAAAAGGACCTTTTGTGCCACCTTTTTCATAAAAGGACCTTCCTCACAAGGTCGACTTCTTAAAAGGACCTTCCTCGCAATTTTTCCAAAGTAAAAATATTACTGTTGATATTTTGGAAGTATATGTATAGCTGTTTAACAAGCTCCCACATGACCAAAATTGTTCTCTAGTAAAAAATCACCAAAAATAGTTAAACAAGATTGTGGGTATAGAGTAAAAGTCAAAAGGGTGCAACCAAAAAAACAAAGTAGAAGAATGGAACTGGGATGATGGGATAAGACTATGGAAGTCGTCAGATCAATTTTGAAAATACATACCTCTTGTTAAAATGGAAAGAGAAACCCAAATTCCTTTGTATTTGGACCTATAGACATCTTTTGGACCAGAAAGAGCAAGAATTCTAGACCCATAAGCAACAAGCAACTTGCTAACTTCCCAGAAAAGCAGTATGCCATTAGGAGAGGATTGGTCAAACGTTAAGCGCTGGGCTTTATTTAGAACTAGCTCTGCATAGAATTTCAGCAATGGAGTTGTCACCTGCAACAGACTTTGTGATTAATCAACATAATCTCCATTACTTTTTAAGGATGATCCCTCAATTAGAAATGATTAAAATCAATGCAGATACAGGATACTTTGATTTTCATTAATAATGCCGGATTTGCCTGGATATCTTGACTTTCATTAATAAGCTACTCCCACTAGATTAAGTAATCCTATAATCAATACTTTGTATTATAATTATGGTTTAGATTTGATCCACTCTTAAAACATGCCGACTGGAAAGGCAATCATATAATTCCCAAAAAAAAATAAAAAAAAATCACTTGTACAATACATATCACAATCAAACTCAAACATGCAGATAATCAGGTAAACCTACAGCATGTCATGTCATTGTTAAGACACTATTATGTAAAATCATCTCAAGGGAAAAGGCAGCTTACCTCTGGACTATCGATCCAAGTAGCAATAGCTTTCAAAAGAAGAGGCATATGTGCTGGATATAACCAATCAAAAAGAAACCCATATGCCTTGCGACTGAAGTAATTAATGAAATATAAGAGGTTAAATTTTTTTCTTAATAATATTAAAGATTTTGTAGATAGAGCAAATAGATTCGGCTTAGATCCCACAAATCACCTGTGTATGGCCATTGCAATTCCTCTTAGATCCCGCATCAGCCCAGCTATAGCACATTTTACAGTCTCATCCCGAAATAACGGGTCAGGAATGGACTCAAGGTTGACAAAAACCTATCACCACCATCAACGATAAAATATATGAAAAAGAAAGAGGTCTAATGATTGCAGCTTCCATTATAACACCAATAAAAGTACACTACTAACAGAAAGGAGAGGTCCTTTCAATGCAGCAACAATTGAATTTTAAAACTCACTGCCATTTTAATATGTTAACAGTTAACACACATACCTGTTGTAAAGGATCAATTGCTTGCTTAAACTTGACAATGTTATCTTCCATGAACATCAATGAACCAACAGTGAAATAAAAAGTGGTTCTTCTACGAGAACTGTAATCTTTTAGGAAAAGAAAATGCTCTCGCTGATATCAACAACACAACATGAGCCAAGCAGACACTTTAATTAGTACCAGCTCTAAATATGGGAGGAGGAGAGGGAGGGGGGGGGGGGGTTCTAATAATATGTGAGGAAGAGGACTTAAGAAGACCACTTACATTGTGATTTTCTGTTATATAATGAATAGAATCCAGCTTTAAAAGAAGTTTTCCCGTCATTAACCTGAATAGATTTGATGTTTTATTGTACATAAGAAAGGATTTAAAAAAAAAGTTTTAAGTCTAAAAATATTCCAGTAGCAATAGAACAAACCCAGATGTCATCTCCGAGAACAGAGCTAATGTTTGATCCAAAACCTCCTCACTCTGCAAAGAGAAGAAAGATCCCCAAAAGAACTTAATTCTGACATATATTTTAACAAATGGGTAATAAGCATTCCCCTTTATTCTCTTTCCCCGTCTCTTACATGATTATCTTAGCCAAGAACCTTTAAGGTGTTCCCCTAAGTTTTTATTTAGAATATACTTCATCTAATTGTTACCTCTGAACAAAACTTCAGATTATTGGCGATTTTCCGGACCATGACATCCAAAATCAACAGGTGATCATGTAGTCTAAGAAGTTCAGACAACCGAACATACAGCTGCTGCAAGAAAAAAAGAAAAAGAAATCAAGAGCACTGAAATTAACCCTAGTATCATTATATGATGATATGATTATGAATTTAATCAACAGCAAGCACTTGCCTTCGAAGCATGCAATGCTTGGTCTCCTACGTAACTCTTCCTAAAGTTTTCAAAGAAACTAAGGACTGCAAGTTCAAGCCTCTGCCTGCTGAGTTCACCGTATCTCTAAAACATACAAGCAAAACAAGAAAAGCATTAAAGCAAAAATAGAAGAGGACAAAAGGCATCATACAATCAATCTGCAGATCAATTCTACCACACGAAGACAAAATATTCACACATAAATTGAAGCGAGGAAATTCATATTACTGCATGTCTGCTATTGTGTATGAAATTCTAAGTTTGTCTGGACAAAAGTAGATATAGAACTGGCAATTGACAAGAAGCAACTTCAAATGGTGAAAGGCCAGAAGGATAGCCTACGAAAAAAAGAAATGGCACACCATAATCTTGTTACCAGCATTCTTAGTTTTTTGTCAGCAAATATAACTGTCAATGGCACAAATTGCTGATATCATATCCTAAATGTCAAGGTTTGGTACTGCAATAAAGAAAATTCCTCTATTTTACAAAGAGACATCAAAACATCCCATAAAGAGTTAAGGCACGGTACCTGGACATATGATCCAGTGTCCATGAAATTTATCAACTGCAAAACACGTGCTGAAAGATCTGCATCAATCACTTCATTTGAAGTACAACTGCAAGAGATATTGCTTACTAAATTAGAGGCTTTTGCATGCAATATAAAATAAAAAAGTAAGAATTACAAAATCTATACCCGGTATATTGCTTTACACTCAGTATGGCACCCACTATATGCACCATCCATGCAAGTTTGGTCTCCGTTAATACAACATTGCTACTACTTACATACTCCTGTAGTTTTGTACCATCCTGAGTCATGCAACCAAATCATACATTAAGATTTATGCTTAAGTTTAATATTTAAACGTTGACAACAAGAAGGATATAATATACCATATATTCTTGTAAGAGAGGGTCCATAGCATTTATCAAATAGGTACTGCAGCTCTCACACTACAATAAATAAGAAAAAGACAAAAACCATTGAGAATCAGAACAGCACAGCAACTACTCCACATCGTCCCCCCCCCCCCCACCACCACCACCACACACACACCAAAAAAAAAAAGGGTAGGAAACACAGCAGTAATTTCTGCGTAATTGTCAAAGGTCAAGTTCCCATAACAAGACAATTTTTCTAGCAATACAATGCAAAACAATCTTCAGGACCAACAGGTCAAACCTGAAATCTGAAAAGATATGGAAAGAATTTGAGCTGATCCTGCATTAGCTCAGCCTTATCAAGAGGACCTTCTAAAAGATCGTCTGAGAACCCAGCCTGTCCTAACAATCAGTCGGATAACTAAGTTAAGAAAGAGGCAAAGAGAAATTTATGTAGCTAAAAGAAAAGCTGGGCAAGCAATTATATCTTAACCTGTACTGAATCAAAACGTGAAGATACAAATCCTTCCAAAATCTTGGGCACAAACTCATCTAAGCGGTAGTTTGTAGACTTATCCTTCACATATGGTAAAGATGTCACCATTCTGGACCACAGCTCTAGAAGATAATAAATACTGCTGCTTGTCCACTGAAATGAAGAAACTCAAAACAATTTCATACAAATTGAAACATTTACTGCTATACAAAAATTTTAAATTTTAGCTTCATCAAGTAAACTTCCAAAAGTTGCTTAGACTGCAATAACCTTCCAAGACTGCAGAGACTTCAATGTGAAATCTGATATTAGGCCTATCCATGAGTTGTAGAACTCCACACTCACGACCTCTGATAACTGTCACAGAATTTTAGGCAGCATCACTTTTAGCATTTAACCTATCTGTGTAATACTCAGCCATGAATTGAGCATACCATTTGACATTTAAATGTTAAACCTATCTGTGTACCTGAAAATTCACTTTAAAACGCCCAAGGAAACGGCAAAGCTCATGGTAATTATCATGATGATTAAGACCTGTTCCCAAGGTAGAGTTAGAAATAGATAACTATTGTTGTAAATTGATATCCTGCTTTATTACAAAGATATCCGTAGTAGGATTACTTTTAAGTATAAACAATTCTAAAGCATATGGAACAAATTTTTGCTTAGCAAGAATTATTTATAGGCATAAATTTTGTTTAATAAATTCTATAATGACTTTTTTAAAAGCCTAGGTTCCTGAAATGTTTAGATTCCTAATATAGGTACTGTAAGTCAATTTAATCATACTTCGACTTCAAGACTAAATATAGAAGTCCTGAGAAATTGAGGTATCATGAACTAACGGATACAGGATTTCATATCAATAACATAATTAACATTGTATCACATCACCTTGTATCTCCCAATGTCCCAAACGGGGAAGATTACAATGCCAACTTGCCTTTATACATTATTTCTACAGCTATATATCAATTACTACGATTTAATAATAACCCTGTTTCGAAGAAAGGCAACAATAGACTTCACCATCGAGTTATTTAAATGGTAGATATAATATTTTATCATAATTTAAGGATAATCTTGTCAGCTAATTGTAACTAAAGACTTACACAAGATAAGTGTTTAGAAGTTAATCTTTGTGATTGGTGGATCAAATTAGTGCTCAGCGTGATTTACAAAAACAACAAAGTTAAATGTGCAAATTGAAAATAAGATAAATGAAGGTTAAAACAAGATATGTTCAAATCAAAGTAAGCCTACATCTACAGGCAAGGAGATCACGTGTCTATTTGTTAGACTTTCCTAGAGAGATTACGAAGAACATGAACCAATTCTAACAGACTTATTTTTCCTATTTCACTTTACATAAACACCTTTAAACATTTCTATTTACTGGAACTAACCCCATTTACAAGCATACAAGTTAATGCTCATTATTAAATTGAAGCTCTTTATCAAGCATACAAGTTATAATGCTCAAGCGAAAGACTTGGAGCAATTGATCAACAAACTAACCTTTCCCTGTTTCAAGAATATCCTTTGAGCCCATCATCAATGAAGTCAAAAACTGCTTACGTGTGGTACCGCTCGTAAACAAGGATCTTTTAACTAAAGTCAATCGCCCCAAACACTCCAAAGCCTTAACAGAAAATATTGAGCTATCAGTGTTGAGAACAAAAGAGATTTACACACACATTGAAGCTCAAAATAAATTCTTACTTTCAAAAAGCTCAGCAAACATAGTATAATCAAACATTGACAGCCATTACATCTATGTATTGCAAGGACAAAAATAGTAAAAATTATACATCTTTCAAGAATTATGTTCCATTTCAAGGGTGAAAGTTAAAGGTGTTGTACATATAAATTCGGAGGCAATTAATTTATACTTTCTGGTAAGAATAGGTAAAAGAATGGATCAACAACCCATTGTAGTAAGATTAGTTTTCTTTGTTATTTAGTAATAACCAACTTTCTCTCTTCTCTGCCAATTCCCCACCAGCCAGGTGAATTTCGACAAGGGGCGACAACATTGATATAGGGTAACCTCCAGTACGAAGTCCACAAACATCACTTCAATCTGAACTTTTGTATCACTCCAATGTCATGTCCACCAAAAATAGCATAAATCTAACAAGTTTCCCTCTCTTTGCACCTTCAACTATGCCTTTGAGCCAATCCTTAAACTGCCTTCAAGACTCTGACTGTGACATGACACCAAAGACTAAATCACCAAGCACAAATTTTCAACCCTCGTCAGGAAAATTCACATTTATACCCTCTAACTTCCTCTCCACTAGTTCTTTCATATATGAGAAAATTGTGTGGTTTATGACGGTGAAGGTGACAAAGGTAAAGAGAACATTGTTAAACTGATACGCAAATAAGAAGAGGGACAGGGCAATTTGTGGTTCATAAGATAAGCTAAATCCTAATGGGAAACAAAGTTCAAATCAAAGTGCACGATAATGCCTATACCATCAACACTATTTCAGCAAATTCCATGCAAACCACTTTCTTTGGGCCACTCTTTAGAGTATAGGACGGGAACTGAAATGAGGTTTACAATAACAAATATCTTAGCTTCTAACAAGTGAGAAATAGAATGTAGGGAATGGAAGGAACACATCTCTTTAGGAACATGGGTTGGGGTGGGTCAATTGAGATAGCTATTTCAAGGTCCCTTATGGAGAAAGGTAAGAATCAAATCGTAAAATGCATTTCCAATGATAAATTGTCCCTGAAAAATCCTTTGACCTACCCCCAACTATAAGCCTTTGATCATCTGCATTCCTCTTCTAAATTCTGATGTTGCCAATTCTCCTTTTTCAAACTTTTTAGTACATGACAAATCCATGCTTTCCTTGGCATTTTTAATGCTGCTGACCATATGGAGAACAGGTGTGCCAACTAGAAGAGCATTTGGAAAGCCAAACCTCCAAAATTACAATTCATATGTACCTTCACTGGCAGGATAAAATTCTCACAAATCAACCTCCAAAGACACATTGTTCTAGATACCTAGCATTTATTTTGCCCTTTGCCTATTGAGAATTCAATTCATATAGCTTGTGACTACCCTAACACATCTCTAGTTTGGCAGCTGCTAAAACCCCCTTCCCAGCCTTATACCTAAGAACATCAGAGAGTGGATCATAACTAATCTAAAGTTCTAAACGACTATTCAAAGATTGGCAACCTTCCATTAAGTACTTTCTTCCCCTTTGTCTGCCTAGATATTTGAAAGCTGAGGAATAAGCAACGATGATCTTCTGCATATTGCCATCCAAATAGCCTATATATTTATAGTTCACTCATCCCCACACACACTTGATGGGCCATCCTACCCTGACAATTGAATCTTTAAGAATGTGGAAGCATCCCATATTGAGGAAAGTACCACAGGCATTGCATGTACATGTCTTTTGTCAACTGGTCATTGGTTGAAGGGCTTCCCAAAAAAGCATTAAACTCCTTACCGAACCTTTGCAGAGCTTATGGGGATCAAGAAAGGACTTCAAATTGCAAGTGATAAAGGCTGTGAAAACGATTATCGCCATATCTGCTAGGCTGCTAGCAAAGTCACCATAGACATGCTCAACCAGAATAATCTTGAACATAACTTTTACTAACATTTGAATGAATGCAAGGAGATAAATCATATTTTCCAAAGAGCAAAATCCATCTCTACAGCGAGATAGAAGAACCACCTAGCTCTAGCAACAAAAGAAGGAAGGCGACTGTAAGGTTAAAGTAACTAGGATCATAAACTTTGTAACTAGTAATTTGGATCGTGTATGAATTAATGCCAACTTATCTACTTTTTTCACCAAAAGAAAAAAGTGATGGAGGGCTGTTGGCAGTTGGCACTGCTATGGGAAATATTAGTCAAGTGTCCAATGGTGATCTGAGTTGGTGGTATTTCAGAGCTGTCAGACCAACAGTGATGGTATTTAAAGACACCATGATGGTCAAAAGCAGAGAGAGGAAAGAGGCTAGTCTACAATGATAAGATGTAATAATTCCCATTAAATAAATTAACCAGGCATTTTTTAGACAGGAAATAAATAATAAGTATGTATTACAAGTATTATATATTTCACTACCTTTATACTACGTATCTACTTTTAAGCCCCTAAATAGTATCAATAAGTAGTAATACTTGCATTCTTATTGTATTGCTAGATATTAAAATGTAGGGTATTATATGTTTTATTTAGTTAGCTTTTCACTTCTGAAATTGTTATGATACTCCTAGATTTACTATTAGACTTTTAATGACTTTACAGGACATCATATGAGTTTACAGCGAAAGATACTTAAGAGCCACGAACAGCAACATTAGACGGAGGAAGAACAGAGCAACAACTGACGAAGAACCACAATCGACTAACCAACTGAGCAGTTCTACCTCATGTTCTCATTTTACAGTGATGATTTTTAAAGTCTGAGTAGGTGATAATTTTGATTACTTAATTTGCATGCTTAACTCTTGTAGTTAAAGGTGTGATGTTATGCAATGGTGTTTTAGAATTTGATAAAATCGCCATCACAGTCCCTTTGTAGAGGATAAAGGGTAACAGGAATCCACAAACATTTCACTTAACATTTCTCTTAATTATCTACTGTCAGATCCTGTATTCAGGCCTTTTGACTGCATCATTCCCACATAATCAATCTACACATTGTCTACCAATTATACATATTCCAACTCAGGCCAGCCCATTTTCTATCCCTTCAGAACAAACTCAGAGAAGAAAATGACATAAGTTAGAGAACTCACTAATTTTGAAAGAGGAGGATTGGTGACTGCATAATAGTCATAATATATTTGTACTGTTGAGGGTTCCTCAAGGACTGATCTCCAGGAGATCGGAGCCTGTCACCCCATAAAAAAATAGTTGTTGAGGAGACAAGACTTGTAATAGAATATTTCAATCAGATTAAAATATAAAAACCATTTTCCACAATATACCTCAATTATACAACTTTCCTCTGAGCTTTCATCAATTGATGATCCCATAAAATCAAAAGATAAACATTGTAGAGAAAGTGAAAGAGCCAGCTCCTGCAATTTCTGTTGAACTACATACCCAAAAACTCTTAAGACGGAAGAAAAATAGCTACTCTATAAAAGAAATTGGCTACAGAACGCTTAAATAATTACCATCACTTTTAAGTCCATGCAATGATGTAAGGGAGATTCCGTAAATTTGCCGTAGCGCCTGATCTTTGAACTTGCTTACCACCCTCCGATGTTGCAGCAGGGGTAACCCTGGAGTTGGCTGTTATTAAATTGAGTTTGACACACCAATTAGTAGATAGAAATTGATGCAACTTAAGTAGAAATCAAAGAAATCAACAATAATCAATCCAAATGATAACATCAAAAAAATGAAACCTATGAAAGAAAACATTGAAGATTTAAGGCTCCCTAAATTTATTCCAGCAATAAATCATAAGCCAATTTGATATCATATCTGATAAACCTTACCCGATTCATCTCACTCACAAGCTGATTCAATACCTTCAAACCCATAGCATAATGAGCGGCTTCTTGCTGCAAAATTAAGCACAGGCTCAAATAAAAATATCAAGACCAAAAACAGCAGTTGCAGCAGAAAAGGGCACCAATGATTGAAAGTTCAAAAAAATCAGATACCTTGAATAAAGAAACATAAATTTACGTTGATTCACATAAACATTAATTTCCAAGGTTTACAATTTCCTAGCAAATATGCAAAGGGCTATATCCACTAACCTGATTCATAAAGTTCACAGAATCACTAATGAGCTCCTGGAATTTATCATCAACAAACCAACCAAGTTTTGAAACTCGACAAACAAGTTGAATCAACGAAGTCGCTACAAAATGCTCCAAGTTGGCACTTCTAGAAGCCAGATAGTTTACAACATGGTTGCCTTCAGATTAAAGTCACACAGGACAAATTAGAAAAAACAAGAGGGCAAAGTTCCAAGTATACACATTGTCAAAATACAATAGTCTGGATCATCACAGAGGATTCAGATACCTAATTTTACTTTTCACTATTTACTATTTACTAAAGGATTCAGATACCAAATTTTACCTTTTAGTTTTTGTATGAATCATCATATAGGATTCAGATACTTTATACATGCATATGACATCCGCTCCCAAAAAAAAAAAAAAAAAAAAAAAAAACAGAACAAATACAAGAAATATATAATTAGTCAGTTTCTACTATCCACAATCACAATAAGTAGGCCAACTGCCAACATCTTAATATGACCCTTTATAAAGAGAAGGTTGTTGAAAGTTGAAATCACTAGCAATGAATAACTAGTGGAGATGTATCAGTTGACAGCAGACTTGACCAACTCTTTATAGTTTGTGGCATAGATTACATAACTGCGGAGAAATAAATCAGATGACTCTATCAAATGGGATATGTTCACAACAACATTCATACATAGACATGAAGCAGGAGCAAAGGCAATTAAACTTGTGGCCACGAAGTCAATAAGCAGTAGTAAACAATAGGAGTATATCAAAAATCACTTAAAGGTACAGAATTTGAGGGGGAAATTACGAATTTGAAGCTGTAGCTGCAAAGGAAGTATATTTTGAGTGATGTGCTTCAGCAAGCTTGAGCTAGCAAATAAAACTGCATATGGATTTCTTGCATTCTCAAGTATGTATTCCAACTGTGGGATGCAGCTGGTATCCTGGGAGAAGCATTTCAAGGTGTTCTCAGCATAAGCTCGCTCAGCAGAGTCTTGTGAGTTGTAAAGCCTCTCGCACAAAGCTTCCAATTGTTCCAAGTTTTCCATGTAGATGATGTAGCAAAATTCCCCCAAAAGAAAATATGCAAGCAAAGAGCACGTGTATTTTCAAATGCTTTCTCTTCTTTGCTGAATATGGCCAAATGGCATCTGCAAAGTATTCACAAAATCCAAAAGAAGAGTCTAGATGTACATTATGAAATGAAGTCTGAATTATAATAATGCTACCGTGCACACCAATAATATCAAAAGATGAGCTTCTATGTTAAAAGTAAATACATAAAGCTTGATCATTTACAGAAAATACATACATAAGGATTGCTTCTGCTTGTTTTACAGAAATAGATACATGGAATTGGCAGAGTATTAGTCAATGACAAATTTTGAAGTTACAGGATGTGTTGAAAATTAATTACAACTCAAAGTTAAAATGCCATCCTACTGCTCTGAAAAAGAAATCACAACCAACTTATGGTCAAGAGAAGGCCAGCAGGCCAGCAGCAGACCTGAAAAGTAAATATTGAACAAAATTCAATTAAACATCATTCCAATTATAATGTTCAAGGACTAAGTCTTAAAGATGTACAAGAAGAAAAAAGAAAAGGAATATAATAAAATTATTCCAAAAAAGAGAACAACTAACAGTAGCCAGTAGCAGGGGTATAACTGTATTATACAAATAAAAAAAATATTAAACCCGACATCAATACAGATATAGTATAAGATACAACAGCATAACTGTGGCAATTAAAATTGAAAATTAAAAAAGCACTTGCAACATATCCCTCTATGTATGCCAAAAGAATCAAGTATTTGACCACTAGAAGGAAACAGGGTTCTGAGAAATCCCTCTAAACTAATTATACAGCAAGAAAAAACGAAAGAAAAAAAAAAAAAAAAAAAAAAAAAAAAAAAAAAACCTAAATAAAAGCATAGGTGTATCATAGATAGAATAAATTTCAATTTCATTGCATATCATCCACTGAATATCAGCAGTAGAAATAGGGAGCAAATCAATCTTTATCATGGGCTATGTCGACTAAAAGCCACATTACTCAAAGAATAAGAGTCCCTTACTCCTGTGTAGAAGTGTAGATACTTTAAACATGACTCGTTTTAAATATATAAAAACCCGATCACCCACATGAATGCTAACAGCTTAAATATGCCCAACAATATGTGCAATATGAGGGCAATCCAAATTCCAAAATACACACACGGACATCAAGCAGGCCACTAATCAATAAATCAATCAAAGCCTTAATCCCATAAGTTCCAATAATCAATCAAGCAGGCCACTGATATTAAATAAAAATTGGTGAGTTCCAAAAAAAATTCAAGGAACTACAGAATGTAATTAATCAATTACATTTTACAGGCTCGTCAATTTAAATCTTTTATTTCATTGACAGTAACCAAATGCCGAATAATCTATCACTGCCAAGGGATAGAAATTCATCAAAAGGTTGACGACCTTAATTGATTTCAAGACGTGAAATTAGATAGATGAGCAAAACTACTAGTCTATCACTCATTAGTCAATTGAAGCAAGATCAACTAAGGCTCTAAATCAACTGCCATATCTCTAAAATTCTGACAAATCAAGCCAACAATTTCAATTTCAACAAATTACTCAAAATTATCTTTGGTCAATCTTCGCCATTAAAATCTCGATTAAAGCCTCAATATTGATTATCAAAATAATCCTCAAACAATTTGGCTAGTTCCATCTGATAAAAACAGTAGAATCGCCACAAAATCACTGTAAATATAATCGAAACTTACCAAATGAAATGACATAAAAAAGAACTAGGAATTTAATGTATATTAGCATTGATTTCAATTAAACAACTTCAACACACCCCGAAAACCGAATATCATGTGAAAATCAAAATTTCGCAGACAAATTCAACAACAAAATAACTAGCAGAATTCACCAAAAAAAAAATCAAGATTCAAAGAAATGAAACAATAACTTTGAGCACCATAATCATGTTGGATTCCAGAAACCCCAGTAACAATGAAAAGGGTTTAATCAAATGGAAATTTTCAATCATCATGCATTTCATATTCATTTTTCTCATTTCAAGTTAATTCACATTGTAATTACAAAAAAATTTAAAAGAAAAATACGTGCAGAAATCCATTTTCCAGATTGTTTAATTATCGGATTTTTATCATTTTTGATAAAGAATTAGAGAAGGAAATCATCTTACAAATGATGGGAATCAATCACATTGAATGGGCAACGCTTTAGATTATTCAGAATCAAAGAGAATGACAGAGTGAAGAAGAAAGAAAGGAAGAAGAAAATGAAGAAACCTAGTAGAGTAGAGTAATTGTTGGAGTTTATATAGAGAAGATTGGGTGACCAAATCGACAGCGACACAATCGGCGATGTTGTAATCTTGGGTCTAAATCTTGACTGTTTTAGAGAAGTTGAGAGAACATGTGACCCCACCAATAACACTAAAGATCGCATTGGGTCATGTCGGATTTCATACTTATTAGAAAAAGAAAGTATGGAACATTAAAAAAATACGATGTACAATCTGTTATAAGTTATTTTAAAATGATTAAAAGTTACCCTATAATAAATGAAAGTTACCCTATATAAATAAAGTTAAAAGTTATCAAAAAAAAACCTAAAACTTACCCTAATTTCAATAAAAGTTACCTCGATATACAGTAATATTAATGTAGAGTTGGATAATTATAGAACGTACTTTTTTCTTATGGAGTATGTCAAACTTACAAGTATTTCGTAGAACTCTATTTCAAAATACCATGTATATAAATTTAAGAAAAAAATTAAAGCTAACTAAGAAAACACTATTAAGATTTGATTAAGTTGGAATAATCAAATTTTTATGATGATTTTTTAAAATTTTATTCAATTCATCGACCTGTGTTTAAGTAAAGTAATTCTGAACTCAAATTATTGTTCCTAACAATCCCTTACATGTGTCACTTTTGATTATTGAGGGTGAACTTTTACTAATAATTTCTTTTGAATTAATTTAGATAGAAAAAAATGGATAGATTTGTAGTAGTATTAAATACAAGTATATTTTTTATAACACTAATGATACATTTTTATCACCGCATTTTGTGACAAAGTAGTAAGTTAGTAACAAACTATCAATTGAAGTTCATTTTCTAAAGGTAGACACGATAAGCCGATAAGGTACGAATTTACAAAAGAAATGATTTTTTGTTTTGTCGCTAACATGAAAAATTTGGATTTCTTCTTTTCATTTTGTTGATTAATCTTCATAACGGTGATCATATAAATTTTGTTAGTGGGGGTGTTTATGGTGATAGATGGTTCTTAGGAGCGGTGAAAAGAGATTCTTATATGAACCTGGCCTTAAAGATATATTTTGCTCAATTTAATAATTATTGTCCATTTTATTATCAAATTGAGCAAAAATTAACCACGGTAGCTTAAGGTGATGACCAATGAGTTTGGTCGGGTAATGATGGTGAAAGTAATGAGAATGGATAACATTTACGTTGAATTTAGCCGTCTTTTATACCACGGTAATGGAATCAAAAATCCAAAATGTATCATGCACATCCTTTTGTGAAATATTTTACACACCCGAGTGTACCGTGCCTCAAATTTAGTTTTTGCTTTCATTTGAAGATTAATTGAAAAACAATTATCAAAATGAGAACAAAATGTTCATGGGTGTACTGTGCACCCGAGTGCATATAACAATCTCTCTTGGGTAGGTTTTCCATCATTAGTGGAACGGCACAAGCAAAAATATAATATTGTTTGAACGATGTACAGGAATGATGTAACCCCCTATCTCCCCTTGTTAAATTCCAATTTAGGGTTTGGTGCACTCTTTCTCTGTTCTCACTGTCCCTTATGTCTACATTATGCATCTCTTCCGTTTTGATATCATATTGGTGAGGAGTAATTATGCCTACATAACTACATTATACACATTGTAAGGCGACAAAAGATAAAATGAACATATTTACTTTAAAAGATAGATGAGTTAATACACCATTTCAGAATTCCTGAAATAGCACAATTTCCGGGCAAAAGAAGCCAATGTTAATAGTAAGATGGTCATCACATACAACTTCAGCAGATGCTGAGATTTAACTTGACAAAAGATTGCGCCCTCTAAGAGAGATAACACAAAAGGGTGGAATTTGCTGACTGTGAAAGATGCATACTTTACACACTATTCATGGAGACTGTCCAATCTGCAATCAATCCACAATCATTGCAAAAATAGGTCATATAGGTAGTTTGAGCGGTAATTTCATTTGCAGATCCCAATATCAACACTTCCAGTGAAGTTTCGAGATCAATATGCTACCCAGGACCTACAATACAAAAATACGAGAGATTAAAAATGGAACCACATTACTGTAAAAGGGCAATCTCCACCAGAGAAAACCAAAAACAAGGAAGGCATCACAAAACAAAGAAAGAGAAATTCACAATTCAGTGTACTTCATATTAGAGTCTCATAAATGAACAAGACTGATTGAGCTTACCGAACATAATTCTATAAATATTTGATCAGTGCCAATACAACAAGGATGAGAGCCACGATCAAGACAACCAATAGACACAAGCAGGCGCAACCTCCCTTGGTGCGTTTATTAAATATGGCCAATCTCCTTTGAATGCGCTGTTCCAAATGTCACGAAATACAAATTAAAACCCAAAAGATAAAAATCACCATCCACTAATCAATATGCAAAAGACTGAATATTGAAGTGGAGAGATTTAGAAAGCCCCAAAGAGAAAGAAGGTCTCACATTCTCTGGTTGAGCACCAACAAGTCAAAAAATTCATTAAGAAGAAACCAAAGATAAAGAATGTCCAGGGGTCACAAACAGAGGATCTAGAATACAGGGGGGCACATAAAGTCCAAAGGTTTAGAATTGAAACTGATGTTCATCCAACCAAACTTTTCACTTGTGTGTGCAGTTCACTGGACATCATAATATTTAACATGGTTGCCATCAGTTAACATCTTGCTCTGTTCTCAGGTCATCAACAAATAGTAGCCCAGTACTATCACAAGCTACCTTAGGAAATAATTATAAGCAATGATTGATTGATTTGGCACCCAATAAATCACTCCAGTAAAGGAGGAATATCAAATGTGTAGTAGTACAAAAAAATCAGCTTCAATTAAGATATTAGACCCATAACATAAAGGATTTGCAGTATAAATGGCTAATTAATATCAAAAGATATGCCCACAAAAAGAACAATACAAGTATAATATTTGTGGTTGCCATAACGATCATATCAGTACACTCACTCACACATGCCTCGCCATCTTAAGGTAGGACTTGGGAGATTTTATCAACATTTGTAACATGTTACACAGGAATACAATAAGGCTTCTATGAATGAGAAAGTTTGTTTAAAACCAACAAGGGACAAGGCCCAGACATCTAGATTTGCAGGCAGATTAATACATTTAAGGAAATAATTTGACAGCTCCAAAAAAAAAAAAAAAAAAAAAAAAAAATTCTCTTAAGTACATATATGCAAAACTGCTGTTTTCATATTGAATATACTACATTCAATATCCAAAAGCTTTTTTAGATCTAACTTGACTTGGAAACTGGACAAAGTCCACAATAACACTTAAAAAAAAAGCTTTTTAACAGCCAAATGTTGTGAATACAGATCAAAGCAAACATTATATTATCATAAGTGAAACAAACTCCCACTTATTTTTTAAAGTCTACATTGCAATCACTGTTTTAAGATGTTCAGACAAATCACTTTTTAATTACAAGCAACAAAGAGGTAAGAAAATTATAAGCAGCTTACTTTACCGAAAGCGAACGTAAATAAACAAGTATGAAAGTACAAAGACAAAATTACCTGCAAGCGAGAATTTGTAGACTCCACATGATCATCCAAAGTATCCTACAAATAAAGGATTTAGGTTCAGAAGTTTAAAAAAAAGTTATTACCCCAATGATTCGGTAAAGGTAAAGTATTGTTATTATTATACGCAGCAGATTATGCCTACAGAGAAAGTACAATGGAGAACTTATGCCACAAAAACTGAACCATACTAAAACATTACCAAGAGTCTAGTGTGAAGGGTAAGCTCTTCGTTGACTGCTAGTGCTATATGTTTTGTGCTTACTATAGTCTCCTCCAATTTCTCAAGGCCCTCGTCTTGCTCTGCTTAGGGATAAAGGGGGAAATGAGGTGTGATTGTACAAACAATAGAGCTAAGATAAGGAGTGTACAACAAATATGTATATATATATTTATAGATGCAAACTTCTTTTTCCATACCTCTCATAATCTGACGTTGGAAGCCTACAATTCCATGGTTGTCCATGTTAGATGCTCTCTTCATTACATCGTCTGACTTCACATCCGGACCTAGTAAACGGTCCCTGTAAGCAGCACTGTATGAATTGAGAGTATTTGCCATCTGATTGATTTTAGATTTCAAATTTGACAGCAAGTCATTGCGCTTATTCATCTCTTTTGCTGTTCTGCATCAATGTGATAGCATAAGCAATATATTATCTCTATATCAGACAAGTAAAAGGATCAACAAATAAAAGGTACTATGGAATACACTACCAAAAAATAGGATAATAATTAAGGACACTGGAGAACAGGACTTGTAAATACATTTAAACCCATAAGTGATAATGATTTAACAAAGATAGTGCTTAATATTGATAAATAGATAGTGCTTAATATATTAATATATTGATAAAATCAAGTCAAAATCAGCTTCCAAAATTTTTCAGCTGTCATGCCTAAGATTTTGACAATCATCATTGATTTCTTTTTTTTTTTCTTCATATAACCAGGTATGCAGGTGCAACTAAATTCAACAATCCAGGAAACCCGTGAATTCTGTAGGGACCCATATTTGCCAAAAAAAAGTATACCAGAGGCATTCCTATGTGGCTCATGCATAGCACTCTACATGAAAAATCTTATTTCACTTGTAAATACACCAAAGAAAAATTTCAAGCCTATGCACAAATTTAACTGTCCACTATTATTCCACAACGTAACAAATGAAAAATATCCTTACACTAGGCCTGGTTATTGGGAGGGTCAGTGCGGGTCGGTGTGGGTCAGGGTCAGGTCAGGATTAGTGCAAATTTAAACGGGTCATTGACAGACCTTTAATATTCAACCTACATTTCATTCAAAGATTGATCCTTCTTTCTTTCACCAACAAAATACAGTAGAATCAATTCCATTTCATTCCTATTTCCCTCAATTTAAGTCAAAATCTTACCAAAAAATTTCCAAAAAAAATATAAATTCCATAAAATTTACATGACTCATTTTTCGCATTCTCTCTTCTCCTCTCTCACTCTCCATCCCTGCTCTTTGGCAGAGGCTCCAATGCCACTACATCTTTCTTCATCTTCCCCAAATCTCCCAAAGTGTAGAGCCCTACAATTACAATCTTACCTTCAATTTCCTCAGATCTCCTCATCATTGTTTTGGAAATAGATTGAAATAATTCGCCTTTAGAAGTAGATGTATCCATTGTCGAAAAGAGCAAGAGAAGAAGTGTCAAAGAGAAGACAGAGCGATGATGGAGATAATCTTTGAATTTGATTGGGGAATATGACTGAATCTAGGAAATTAGGGATTTGGGGTTGAGAATTAGGGGTTTACTGATTTGAAGACCCTATAAAAAAGAAACTAACCTTTCAGAATTAGAGAGAGATAGTGGAACTTCTTCAGTTCTTATTGGACTACCTAATAGTTTTTTCTTTGATTATTGGGCTCTAATTGGAGACCCTATAAAAGCCCTATAAGATATTACCCTATAAAAACCCTATCCATTAAATTTAAAAGGGTCAAAACCCTTTAATTATAAGCCCGACCCCTTTTGCCATTGGGTAGCCCTGTCCAATAACCAGGCTACCTTAAACTATAATAAATATTACATAAGCCAGACTAGAACACACTAAACACACTTATGCAAAAGCATAACAATTGATCTACATCAAGTCACGAAAGCTTCACATATTCACATCCAAGACATGCAAAGTTACTTTACACTTCATAATTAATAAACTTCACCAGCTGATTTGATACAGAGAACATACAAAATCCAGGCTAAAAATAAAAGGTCCAGTTTAATTATAACCATAGAGTAACCAATGCTCCAGACAACAAGCCCCACCCCCCCCCCCCCCCCCAAAAAAAAAAAAAAAAAAAAAAAAAAAAAAAAAAAAAAAACCCTTCCAATAAAAAAGTAAATTTTTTATCCTGTTTTATGCTGTTTTATTGTATTTAACAATTACTCCTGAATCCTGATTATCTTTATCTGTTTCCACATTTCTTAATTCAAAAATAAGTTTGTCATATTTCATCATCTTTTGATTCTAGTGCAAGAATACAATTGAAATAAGACAATTAAAGTATTGAACATTTAAAGGAAATGCTCAGCAATTAAAACAGTTAGATGATAGGCTAAACACTCAGGAACTCATCGTAGTAAGGAAAGTCATGGCCTCATGGGCATAAACCAGCTTGCTGTCACCCCAAAATTCTACTCATAGTTGATCAAACGAAAAAGATTCACACACAAAATAATGCGAAGAAATCTATGCACATATTCACAAAATGGAAGGCTTCTAGAAAATTACAAAGCATAGAAAACAAGAGTAATTGGAGCTTTATTTGCTCCTTTACGTGCCAGTTTATCTATGGCATAGAAGACTTGTTTGACTTTGAAAGTTTAAAGGTCAACATTTGAAACTTGGACTAGTAACCTTTGAGAGTACATTGGTCTGCAAAATGAAAATAATTCTACAAATTTTTTTCCTTTTTGACAGGAATAATTCTACAATTGTCATAAACATATATTGGTTATGATTTAAAAAGGGTAAAAGTTAATCATGACACCAAAGAAAAGGTCAAAAAGAATGTTGATATGAAATGGATGGAAAAGCAGTTCATCTTCAAGACATCACATTGAGCCTAATCATATCATAGGAAACCAGTGACAATGAGCCGCTGAAAGAATTTAATTAAAAAACAATTATGGTAAACATGGAGACAAAGTGTGAGCAACTTTAAAAATTCTGGTCCGGGAAGCATGTTGCAGCTTAGCAATGCACGACATATCCAACAATAATCATTAAAGCAGTTGTCAACTTTATATACTTACATAGGCTGCATGCTTGGGAGCTTTGCTAAAAGTGACTCCAAATTCTCTAGTTTAGTATTCAATATGGTAATCTTACGACGAGTACCAGAAAAATGACGCTGTGTCTGTGTTCCAGTTGGCGGTAGAGTACTTGCCTCAGAGACCATACTGTTTATTTCATCCGCAAGCTTTGATGCTTCATTATATTCCCGCATCCATGACTCGGAAAGTGATGCCATTTCAGCTATCAGTAATAACTAACTCCTAAGAAAGATGAACAAACCAACCCTGAACAAACAAAAAAACATATGTCAACAAAACTTGCACACTTGCTAAAATACCATGTGATGAAACTTTATGAACAAAAATCAGATTACAAAATGATCACAACAAGACAGTAACAACTAAAACATCAGTAATCAAGATTCGAACATCAAACTTTCAAACTGCAATAATTCCAGCTCAATCAAATTAAAAAATCAAAACCCAGAAGACCAATTATATAATTGATCAAGGAGAAATTTCAAAAGTTCAAGTAACTAATCCCTGCCTGCTACAAGAAATCAGCAACAATTGATCAACCAATTCCTCTTAAACCCTAAATTTTAAAACCCCCAATATCTAAACAAAAAAGGGGTTTCTCATAACATTCCCAGTAAAGGAAATATAGCAATAATTTCATCAATTTCTACAACAATTGGCACAAAATTCACACAAAATCTCCCAAATTTCAACAGTGGAAGTCAATAATTAACAACCCTAAAAAATTAATAAAATCAAAATCCAAGCGCAATATTGAATAACCTTACACAAATTTTCGCAATCAATATAAAATTAAACCGGAGTAATCATGAAACTGAAGCAAATTCCTAATAACATTACCCGAATTAAAAGATTGGGATCAAAAGAACAGAAAAGTGGGAGAGAGAAAACGAGGGCGTGTAAGACAAGGTATGGTCAATAGTGGTGGAATTTTAGGAAATTTCGTGAGGAGGAGAAGCAGTTTGTTGGTTCTAAATTGTCGTCATCTGATTTTAATGCATGAATTTTATTCTTAATACAGTTGGGTCCTTCAATAATTATGGTCTCGTTTAGTTCAATTTATTTTTACTTATTTCAAAATAAATAAGTTCAGATCAGAAAAATAAGTTCAGATCAAATCATCGTTTTATGTGCAAATAGATGGGAATCCATGCGATGCACGGTTTTTTCATCTAAGATTTTTAATTATTTGATTTATATTATTTAATAATTTCAGACAAAATTACTAAAGTTTAATATTTTTTTTACTATAATTTATATAGAATTCATTAAATACAAATAAATTTTGTACGATATAAATCTAATTATTAAATAATGCTTCAAAATTATAAAAATAGTATTTTTAATATAATACTTTTCAACCGTTTTTTGGATGTGATTCATAAGAGTTGAGATATCAATCTTCTTAGAGATAATTTCTTCTGAGTCCATAGAAGTACCTTGTATTTCAAGTTTCCCAATAGTACTATTTTTCGATTTTTCACTAAAAAAACAAAAAATTATTAAAAAATATAAATTATAAGAGTCGATGGACTTCGAAGCTTGCATAATGGACCCCCAAAAGCAACAAACAGATTTGATTATATCTTCAAACAATAGTGTTAGTAGTGTCTTCTATATGTAGCAGTAACATCAATTTATCGATAAAAAGCATACGCTATGTACCAAAAAAAGAATTTTGAAAGATAGAAATCATACTTCCAAATGTCTTTTAAGACCTGAACTTCTACATTTTTATAGATTTTGGTTGATGACGAAGAGGTTAGATTAAAAGTACATGTATATTAAGTAATAATAATAAATAAATAGCTAGATAAATAAAAATAATAAGTAAGTAAAATAATAAACTTAAATTACCATTAAACTCTTTCACCATCATTGACGTAACTATAATAGGAAAAGGTTTGATGAAATCAATTAGTTGAATTTTCCATTTCGTAAACTCAACAAAAACTTTATTTCAAAGCTTAATTTGAACTCGTTTCTCCCTAAAAACAAAAAACCTAAAAACAAAAAAATATTAGATACATATAAAATAAATATATGTAAGAAGAATTATTTAAAAATAATAAAAAAAAACATGCATACCATTTATCTTCTATACAATAGATAAAATAAACCAATACATTTACCAGGAAGTGATTTTTTGTTGTGAAATTGACCTAAAGAATGTAATTGTATAAAATCAAATCTATGCATTGAAATTTTTTCATCATCCCCATTCGCTCGGACAACAGTATTTTGAAAAGATTGAATCATTATTTTATTGTCACTGACAACGCGATATTGATTCAATTCTTATTTGGAACGACTGAAAAGTATCTAATGGTGTAAACTTTTCCTTCAATCAATTTCGGACGAAAGGGTTGAACAAAGTGGATTTAATTGAGGCGTGAATGTAATCACCCTGTACTTTAAAATAAGAAATTAAGTTAATTAATTACAATAAAAACTAAAGAGGTTTCAAAAAAAATTTAATAGAGGTAAATATTTTATAAGAAATACCTCCTGGTCCAATAGGACCATATCCAAACTTATTAAGTTATCTTGTTTGCAAAAGTTTAGTACATCAAACATGCGAGAAACTCGTACCTTGAATTTTCAATTATTTTTGCTCGAATTTAATTCTCTGATTAAATTAGAAACTGACACAAAATTACTAACACAACATTTATTTGAGTTGGTTTTGTATTGATATGAAATTTTGTTGGTGTCGTATGATGCGTCAATTTACAATGATAGGTATGACAAATTTTAATTTAATTAATTAACGAACAATTTTTATTTCTTATCGTAAACACCATCAAAATTTATCTTATAATGGAAGATATGTTTAGTGATATGATTATAAGTATTTTTTAATTTACTTTTTTGGGTTACGAATAGTGAGTAAGATATTATTTGTGTTTTGTGTCATATAATTTATATGTAGTGGGTGTTTATTTATCATATATCATTTTAATCAAAGATATTTCAATAATATGCTAGTATCCTCATCAAGATAGTTTTTAGATAGTATAGTGGTTTAATTACTAATATCTTTTTGGAGAACATGTAGTTTATCTATATCATTAGATTTTTACTTTTTTTTCATGAAAATAATTATATTTGTGGCCAGTAACCTCAATAGTTTTAAGATTGTATAGTGGTTTAATTAATAATATCTTTTTGGAGAACATGTAGTTTATATAGTGGTTTAATTAATAATATCTTTTTGAAGAACAGGTAGTTTATCTATATCATTGGATTTTTACTTTATTTTTTTCATGAAAATAATTTAATTTGTGGATTTTAATCTACGTGGCATTAAAATTGGAGACATATCAAATCTAATTCGTCACTTTTATCTAGGTGGCGAGTGAATTTTTTAAATCTAAACTAAAATAAAAATCTGATTTTTTTATTGGTTAAAAAATAATACCTTTGCTTACATGGCGCTTCGAATGCTCTCCAAAAATGCCTACTTTATTTATATATATTAGATTTTTTATCGCTAAATATCTTTAATTTCGTAATGAAAAGAATTATAAAAATTGCATATTAATAAAATACACATTATTACGTATCTAACAAGATCACGCTTGATATATTTTTTCCTTAAAGATTATCGTACACTTAAGGTCAAAGTTTGGTCAAATCAGACAATAAGATCAGATTAGATAAAACCAGATCAGATAAGTTCATATAAGCAAAAATAAAGTGAACTAAACAGGGCCTAAGTGAGAGTCGTACATGGATTTTTGAATTTAAATTTGATTAGGATTAGGATTACAAAGTTAAATTTTAAAATTAATTAAATTTGATTATATAAAATACGGAGTAGCTTTTTTAGAAAATTTAAAAATACAACATAAAAATTAATAAAAGTATTGTGTGTAACGGATTCACGGTGAGTTTGTCCACACAAATATAATAGAATCGTACACTTCACAAAATGCAGCAACAAGTCAACAACAACACGAACAACCTTAGGTCCTTAGCGCATCTACAAATTCCGCCAACAATCCTAAACCTGACACCGTCGACATCGACATCGATAAAACCACTAACAATCCATCAAAATTTCTGGTTAACGACACACCAACGATGATGGCTTGCCAACTTACCAAATACTACGGTACTACCTCCATTCTTTTATATTCCACTCGTACTCACTTACTGTGGATACTCAGTTTAAGAAATTATTGAATAATGTTAGTGGGTTTAAGATAAAGTAAGAGAGGGAATGTAAAAATGTAGGATCGTGTAAGAAAAAGGTGAATAAAGTAATAGATGGCGTATGCAAAGGTATAATTATTGTGGAGTTTAGATAAGATGGTAAAAGAGGTAAGCCATAAATAAATAAAGCAAAGAGAGTAGAACATGGCTCGAAATGGAAAGTCAGTAGAACAAAAAAGAACAAAGGGAGTACAACAGTGCAACTCTCCTGTTTTTAATTACTTTCCCTCGATGCTATATACTAAGATATACCCCAATTATACAAATATGATTCCTCCTTTTAAATAGTCTCAATCTACCGCCCTTTTTTTTTTTTTTTTTTTTTTTTGGGTTTTCGCAGAAAACTGCTATTTCAATAGTGAGCTACTCAACAGAAATTGTTACTTAAAGTAGCGAACTATAAAACTGCTACTTACTAAGCAAGAACCACTACTTAAAGTAGCGGCTTTGATTAAGTAAATTGCTACTTGAAGTAGTGGTTTTATACTTGTGTAATTTTTTTTTTTTAAATAATAATAATAAGGACCTCCTCTCTCCTCCTCACTCTCTCAAGTAGCGTTATAATAAGAACCGCAACTACTTGAAGTAGCAATTTTATACGGCCGAAAATCTCGAATTCAAGTAGTGATTATAGACTAGAAAACCACTAATTTTGGGTGAATAAAAAAGTAAAAATAAAAAGGCTTCTATACTTGAATCATTAAACTCTTTCCATGAACTCGAATGAGAGATAGCGAATGCAAAGAGATCAATATTTCTTTTTATTTCATGAGAAATGACTCTCATTACAACGTACTTTTAAGATTTAACATGTGTTAAACCAATTATGTATGCTTCTTACCAAAGGGCGAATAAATTAATTCGAAATTATTTAAATTAAACTCTTTTAATTTTTGGATTAGTGGATTGAGTTCATTTTGTTCAAAACTCGATTTTCATTAAATATCATGTTGAGTGTGTCTATCATACACTCAAGTGTATCACATACATGATACTACAAACTTATCTTTACTTTATTGATTTGAGAAAAAAAGTGTGCACATTATACACTCGAATGTATAATAAAAATTAAATATATCTAGATTCTAAATTCTAAAATATTTGTGTTTTTGTGAGTAAAAAGGTATGTAACATGCCAATGTCTATTTGACGTCGTGACATCCCAATTACTATTCCTAAAACTAAAGGCCAATATCATGCTTGAATTCTAAGTTGCTTGAATTTATAGAATTTGGATTAAACATAATTTGGCTCCCTCCATAACCCCAACAAAAACCCTTGTGATTTTGTAGACATTGTAGTAGCAGTTACCAAAATATTCCCTCAAAAACCACCATATCTTCTTAAACAAACACCGGAAAATGATTCTCACTTCCACAGCAATTCTCCGGAAAACCCCTTTATTCCTCCCTCATTCTTTAATTCTATCTCCTCCTCCTCCCAATTTCAACTCAATTTCAGCAAACCCACTTCAAAAATTCAACTCAATTCTCAGTAAAAGGGAGTTGGGGTTTACTGGGTTGAATTACAAATATATGGGGCAACGTCATTCTCGAATTTCCGCGGTTTCCGGTGGTGGGTCCGGCGGCTCTACCGGTGGCAATGGCGGAGGAGGGTTTGGTGGGTCCGGTAATGATGGTGTTGGTGGTGATGGTGGGAATCAGTCTAAATGGAGTTTGCTTTCTTGGTAAAGTTTTAAGCTTTATCTTTAATTGCTTTTTTGAATTTTTTTTTTAGTGGATAATTGTGCTTAATTTGTGTTATTATGGTTA